ATATTTTCAATCTAATATGTACTTACGTTATACTAAGTCTATGATCCCAAAAGATGACTGGTAGAGAATGCTATTAGCATTATGTCATTCTTTTGCACCATATTTTCGTTCGGTCAATAAAATTGTTTGAATAAATAAATTGTAAAAATAATTTATTTTTATTTATTTGTATATAATTCTAACTATATAATAATAATAATTTTATGTTAATTTTAATGAACAATGTTCTTTGTTTTTATGCAACTTACTGTATGCCATTACAAATTAACGACCTACCTGATGGAAAGTGGTAACTGAAGGGATTGTTTTTTTTTTCATGGATGATAATGGAATGGTGACCCCGCCTATGCTATCGGTATACACTGGCGGGGAACCAGTGAGGAATGATAGGTACAGATGAAAAGGTAGGTCAGTTAACGCATCGTGACAAATTCAACGATAAATTAGCCACGATGATTTCCAGGAGGAACCGCGTGGAGGTCGACCTGACAGGGTATATTAATAGCAATGTGGACTAAACTCCCCATTACTAACAATCCCTTTCCCCCCTGAAGGGTTTGTTAGTAATGCAGACTACCAGTCCCATTACTATCAATATACTCTCCAAGTCGACCTCCACGTGGTCCTTCTGAAAACCATCGTACTGAATTACTGATGTATTCATCACGATGGGCTAACTGACCAGCCTTTTCATTGTTACCTATCATCCCTCACTGGTGCCCCGCCACTATATACCGTTAGCATAGATGGGATTACCATTCGATCCTTATCCATCAAAGAAAACCGTTGCCTATAAATACGAACAGTGCCATGTTCCTATAATAATTAATATCTCAGTACATATGCAACATTGAAACTTGCAGATATAATATGACTGCATATTATCTATTGTAAGCAATTGCAATCTTCAACTATAAATAATAGACGGTATCTTGAGACTAATTGATAAATGCCGTCAATTGTGCAATTGTAAAATGACATAAATGTAATACAATCTACCAGTCTATATTAAAGGATGACCTCTGGATCTATTTACAAAATAAAATCTTACATTGTGTTAATAAGTTGTCCTGTGAGATTAATCCTACGCAGTTATGTATCATAGCTTAGCATTCTAGTCATTCTAGTCACTTCCTAAAAATCGGCGACATTGAAAAGTGAATTAATTTATAAATGTCATTTATTTTGTTTGATAAATTTCTTTATTCTGCATTTTCAACTTTTCTACGTGTCCGCAGAAACAAATTTTACTTCTCAAATGCATACGCATCGTGCCGAACGCGTTTCAATGAACTTGGCTTATTAACACTTCCATCGCTTTACATATATGAAATAAGTGTTTTTGTAAAGCAATATATACTTTTATTTAAAAAGGCTTGTGACTTGTATCCTAGAAATATTCGAAATCCAGAGGGAGACTTTGTAATAATTAGTTTGCTTAGGCACGTCTGTAACATTCGTATTTCTACCATGACTCGTTTCTGTTTGCATGGCTGTGTTTCGGTTTGAAGGGCGGGATATGGCAGTGAATTTACAGGGTACAGAGGAATAACAACCGAGTCCTCAGGAATGGCAACGCATGGGGGGTATCACGGGCGAAACAGTATACTCTGTTATGTCCATAGTACTGCCCATGTCTATAGGCGACGGTTACCACTTTCAATCTTGTGGGCCACTTTTCGCTTTCAATCAGCTTGTTTGCCATTCTAAGTTGCATAAAAAGAAACAAAGTTTCATGGAAAATATTACACTCCTGCACCCTAAAGCCATTCTCGTACAATCTCCAATTATCCGAACTAACACATCACGTTCACGTTAGCCGTGATTATTATCGGAAACAGGCCGTCGTCCAGCAATAAACAGATATCGGCAATTAACTCTGTTAATAGAATCTGTTGGCTGCTAACATATTTTCTTGTGAAGAATTCAATGTAGAAAAACAACGCGCACGCGGCCAGCGTGGCGGCTGGAAAGCGTAAAACTTAAATGAATAAGACGAACGGTACATCACGTTACACTACTGGCCGAATAGACTTTATACGATATATCGATTCAAATCGATAAAAACATATAATAATACTAAGAACAAGGAATTACATAGAGGGAATGATAAAATAAAAATTGCAAATCATATGGTTGCCTCCTTTCTTCTTATGCAAATATAATTAGTAAAAAGAGGATGAAAGATACAACATCAGTTGTTAAAATGTTTGATATGTCAACTATTTGACATATCAAACATTTTCTATAACTAATTTAACATTACTAGATTACATATTCGACATAGTTTATCTAGAAAGTATGGAAACAGGTTGTATCTGAATTTGGTAGGGTTATACGGCCGTTTAACATTTTCTATACACTAGCCTGCTGTGAATTGACAATTTTATCACTCCTATGTAATTTTTGTTCTTAGTAATAATACAAACTATAGGTATCTCGCAACTTTAATTGTGTGAAACAGCATATAAAGTATCCTACTACTAATAAATACTAAGATTTTTTTATGGATGGTAATGGAATAGTAACTCCGCCTGCGCTATCGGTATACACCGGCGGAGCACCAGTGAGGGATGATAAGTGAAAATGAAGAAGCAGGTCAGTTAGCCCATTGTGATAAATACACCTGGAATTCAGCACGATGGTTTCGATATATTAAAATTTCACCAAAATCGGTTAAGCCGTTTCAAAGAAGTATAGCAACTATATATATATATATATATATATATATATATATATATATATATATATATATATATATATATATATATATATATATATATATATATATATATATATATATATATATATATTCTTTAATTCCTGTAATAGGCACTAATTTATAGATACATTTAGGTATAAAACCACTAACGTTCTGACCTTGTCACCCAGTCTAATCTCCAGTTAAAAGTGAGTGGTGCTATCTATTGTTAAACTTGAACTCAGCCTAAAATGATGGGGTCAATGTATTAATTTGCATGATGTTTACAATGCTTGTACTGTTGTATGGCTAGTATTTTTTTTTTTATTTATGAAAATGGAATGGTACACTCGCTTATACAAAAAAGTGGGCCATCGGGAGAAAGAATAGTTTTTTGGAAGTGGATAATGGAATGGTAACCCTGCTTGAACTATTGGTACATTGGAGAAGCACCAGTGAGAGATGATAAGTGAGAGTGAAAGCAGGTCACTTAGCTCATCATGACGAATTTTACAAGAATCAATCATGATGGTTTAAGGGTGGACCGCGTGGAGGTCGACCTGATAGGGTACATTGCTAACAATGGGGCTGTTAGAGTCCATTACTAATATTCCTTCTCCCCTATAAAAACAGATTGTTAGTAATAAATACTAAAGATCTACGCGGTTCCCCTTAAAACCCAATAAATTCACCAGAAATTAAGAATTCATAACGATGGATCTGGCCTATCATCCTCACCTATCATACAGCACAGTCGAGGCTGCCATCGCACTTTCACTGATTAAAAAATAATAGCTGTACTGAGAGTGGTAAAAGGATGATGATGAAGTCAGGTCAGTTGGACCATTATGGCAAATTAACTAGGAATTAGTCACGATGGTTTCCAGGAGGACCATATGGAAGACAGGTTGTCTTGAAGACGACCTGTCTTCCATATGGTCCTACCTTATAGCTTCCTGATGCTAGTAATATACTCTATATTACTAGCATCAGGAACCAATACTCCAAGTACTAACAATCTTTTCCTTCAAAAGCCTGATGTTGTAAACTTAATGTAAAATTAATACTACAATAACTGCACAATATTTGCTATGAATTCTCATTTTTTAATATTAAAATTTAGCAAATGAACAACAATAAATGTCAGTCCTGCCTCTATAGAGCGTTTTAGGTACTAAAACTATTACGAGTTAGTTCTATTTATTACCACTGGATCGAATGGCACTGTTTGTTAGACTGGTCGCTACTTTGTGCCAACTTATATTAAAAAAGATGCAAAATTCTTAAATCTATTAAAAAACATTAACCCGATGACAAAAAAACATATCTGAATATCTCTTGAAATTCTATACCGTTACTTTAGGTGGATACTGAACAATGGACTGACATAATTAATTTTTTTTTTTGTAAGTACAAACAGACCTAATAGTAGATGATAGATGAGAATGAAAAGACGGGTCAGTTAGCCCATCTTGATGAATACATCTTGAATTCAACACGATAGTTTCCAGGAGGGACCACGTGGAGGCCGACGTGACAGGGTATATTGCTAGCAATGGGACTGATAGGCGTGAATTTACTGGGTACAGAGGAATAACACCTGAGCCCTCAGGAATGGCAACGCATGGGGGATATCATGGGTGAAACAGTATTCTCTGTTATGTCCATGGTACTGCTGATGTCTATAGGCGACGGTTACCACTTTCAATCAGGTGGGCCGTCAGCTTGTTTACCATTCTAAGTTGTATAAAAAAAAATTATAGTCCGCATTACTAACAATCCCTTCCACCCCGAGTTAGTATGTTAAACTGCGCCGCCAAGTTCTTCATATATTATATAATATATAAAATGACGAAATTATTAATAATAATGACATAATAGTATAACATAATAGTCTCACGTTATCGCATAAATATGGCATAATATTTTGTGATTTAAATGATATAATTTTAATTGCTGATAAAACAAAAATAAATATATTTACGACTGCAATCACAGATGAGGTATTCAAAAGCTTCATTTCCCTAAATTTATCTCTATAGCTAATATTTAAATTTGATAGTTTCGCGAAATTATTGTTTTATGGACCATCATAAATTAATTTATAATAATTTTAACTTAAATCTATTAGTACTTTAGTTCATATTGGTCCTTACAATAAAGAATAGATTAAGAGAAATGACGCTTCAGAATTGGCCCTTTTTTTAACTTTAGTAACCAGTAAATATATAAATGTTTAATAAATTTAAATAATACAATACAGATAGAAATAAAACTTGTTAATCAAATAAAAAATATATTAAAACATGTAAAATATATTATTTATCCTAAACAATTTTAAACAAAGGAACGACAATTAAACATAACGCTTACAAATAGATAACACAGTCTTTGGAAATAAACTAAAGCCGTCTACGAACGATACAATTGCTGCCTATGACCGGTCGGGCAGATCTCTTTACATTAATTCAACTGACCAACTTGAACATACCAATAAATAGTATTCCATTGATCCCACTAACATTCAACTGTACCGACGACGACGTAGATAGTTTAAGGTGGATATTACATAATTTTAATTTTTCAGGCATTTATTTTATAGATCCAGATACTTGCCTCATAAATTCAGTACAAATAGTAACCAACATTTTATGTTGCCGATATTTAACACAAACGTTTTTAAACTTTTTTATTTAACTAAATAATGGCTTTGGCATTTAATATAATTAATATTTCGATTTTACAGAAAAACTTAATACTTATGAAACTTAAATTTTAATGATAAAGTCTCCACTTTGTTCTATAATTGGATGCATTTCTAAAATAAATTTATAATTAATATTAGAAACTTTGATTACAGTTTTTTACGAATTAGAAGTCAGAAATATATTAAGCAGTCTATCTTACGAGATTCACTCTCATTGAATCCATTATGATAATTTTTTAAGAATTAATTTTTGTATATTTAAAATTGGTTTAAAGACCCTCAACGTTTAAAGACACTTTTATGAACTCAGTTACACATGCAAATAATCGTTAACAACAGTCTTATCTGCTTACGATAAGATATGACGAAAATGACACTTGTATGTCTATATCACAAACGTAAACACACCTACAAAATTATTCAATATATATTTATATGTATTTAGATTAAATCACATTCTGAAAACACCGAATTTGCTATCCCTGAATGGAGCATTCAAAGCAGCCGATAAACTAAGACCTATGACTTTTCTCGTATCTTTTGGAGCTATGATTCCGTCATCCCACAATCTTGCTGTACTATAATAAGGTATACCTTCTCTCTCGAACTGAGCTTCCAAAGGAGCTCTCACTTTTCTTTCGTCTTCATCAGTCCATTCCTTGCCTTCCCTAAGCGCTTTCTCTTTAGCGATTAAAGATAACACGGTAGCTGCTTGAGGTCCACCCATCACTGATATTCTAGCATTTGGCCACATATACATAAAGCTGGGAGAAAAAGATCGCCCACACATCCCATAATTTCCAGCACCAAAACTACCACCAACTATAACAGTTATTTTTGGTCCTTTAAAACAACTAACTGCTGTTACCATTTTAGCACCATTTTTTGCAATACCACCTGCTTCGGCATCTTTTCCAACCATGAAACCCGTGATGTTTTGAAGAAATAGCAACGGTATTTTACGAGTTGCACACAGTTGAATGAAATGAGATCCTTTTAAAGCCGCTTCAGACTCTAACACACCATTGTTTCCTATTACTCCTATGGGATGGCCATAAAGAGATGCAAAACCACATATTAAAGTTTCCCCGTATAACTGTTTAAATTCATGAAATCTGCTTCCATCAACGATCCTAGCAATAACTTCACGAATGTCAAAAGGTCTTTGTATATTTGCTCCCACGATACCATGTAAATCGTCAATATTATGTACTGGTTCGTCAATTTTTGCTGAATAAATTCTGGCTCTTTGTTCATTATTCCAGTTCAAATTAGCAACAACATTCCTAGCTAAAGCTAGAGCGTGTTCGTCGTCTATAGCATAATGGTCAGTGACACCAGATTGGCGGCAATGTAAGTCTGCTCCTCCCAGATCTTCCGCAGACACTGACTCTCCAGTAGCTGCTTTCACCAATGGTGGTCCGGCTAAGAAAATGGTTCCTTGATTCTTAATAATAATACTCTCATCAGACATACTAGGAACATATGCTCCGCCGGCGGTGCATGATCCCATTACGACCGATATCTGAGGAATGCCCTCTGCTGACATATTAGCTTGGTTATAAAAAGACCTCCCAAAGTGCTCTCTATCGGGGAATACTTCTGCTTGATCAGGCAAGTGAGCACCACCGGAATCCACGAGGTAAATACAGGGAAGCCGACACTCTTGTGCGATAGACTGCGCGCGCAAATGTTTCTTCACAGTGATAGGAAAATAAGTTCCTCCTTTGACAGTCGCGTCATTCGCGATGATCATGCATTCGTGGCCGTGAACTTTTCCAATAGCAGTGACGATGCCGGCACACGGCACCTGACCTTTATACATATCAGTTGCAGCCAACGTGCTCAGTTCCAAAACGTCGCTGCCCTCGTCCACTAACCGGTTAATCCTGTCTCTAACGAGCAATTTCCCCCGTGAAATATGCCTCTTAACCGAATCTTCTGGGCCGCCTTTGAGAACTTCACCGGTTTTCCGGCGAAGTTCATCGACCAGCTCGTCCATTTTGAGTTTATTCTCCTGGAAATATGGGTCGTTTCTGTTCGGCTCGCTGCCTATGACGACGGCTTGGCTGTTGTTTCGGCATTGGACGTATAATCTCCGCGTTCCCCTGAGTACTTTGAGCATTTTCGTTATAATATGAATGGCACACAGAGACACGACCGGTCGGCGACTCGTTGCCGCAGCACTGGCGATAATGTACCGTTATCAATACAAGTAAGCAACACAACAATAAATTGTATGCTTCGAACCGATCCCCGTGTATAAAAAACACGTATTATTCAAATAATGTTATAACATCAATGACGACTGTAAAATGAACGTTACGTTATATGTAATTAAGTATTATATCAATTGTATCAACATCAATTGTATTCAATTAAGTAACTTCATTTAACTTTATGTAAATTTCAATTTAAGTAAATATAAATCGGATTCATCACATCGTACCAATTTTTGTGGTACTGTAGTATAAAATAAAAAATTAATCAATTCTTATACTGTTATGTAGTTCACTTACATTAATAATACATTCATTTACAATTAGTTTTTTTTAATGTATAAGTAACTCCAATTAACAATTTCACTCATATAGGCACTAAGGTACAGGCCTTAGTTTATAATTTGATGTGCCTGCTGCAATAAAAAAAATATTGCTCATAATTGCTTGAAATTGAAATATTTTCATTAATTTTACAACATAATTGACTTACCTTAATTCGTATATAATTGTGTATATGCGTACATTAATTAAATCTGCAATAAAGCATTTATTCGATTAGACAAAACATTTCTGTTGAAGGAGGTATGTGTATACTCAGAAAAAAAAATAGCAACCAGTTACTGATTACATTACAGCTTACAGCTACAGGTGAACGACACAATTCAAAAGTTTCACTTTCCTCCGACGCGAGGTGGCGACACTTTCTTGCATATGACGCAGGACAGGTGTTATAACCTGCTAATGACAAGTAGATTAGAAAAAAAAACAGCAACTCAATCGAGAGTTCGAGACATAATTGATACTGACAGTTTATTTGATGTTGGGTGTGCTGGATGAAATCTCTTTTAGAGATAGCTTTTTTTTTTGTAATGTGGTCAATAAAGAAAAAATTAATAAGTTCACCCTTGTAAAGTTATTATGTATAATTATTATTCTTATATTTTATGTACAAAAAAAAAAGACTTGCCTAACTTAGTGCTCTTATTTTAAACGAATAAAATGTACCACCAAATTCATTCATCAAAGACGATTTTCGTAGACACGGGATTTTAAATATTTGTATTTAGAACACAGAATTGCGTGTCAAAAAGTAAATTTTACTCAACTGAGAAAAAATCTGCATCAATCGTCTCAGAATATGTAAACCTATTTGATTAAAAAATATCAAAATCATGTTAGTAAATTTGGCTAACGTATCGTATAAATTACACACAAAAATACAGACGAATTGAGAAACTCTTTCTTTTTGAAATCACTAAAAATCTTTGATAATACTAAAAATATAAGAAAATAGAAAAAATCTACTGATATTATAAATATGAAAGTTTATAATGTTTACTCATTATGGTGATTTAAATGGCCTGACGGGTTTGAATAAAATTTGGTACACCGTTATATCTTAATACACAAGATACTTTGTATACTGGTTCACACAGACATAGCCGCGGGAAACAATTAGTAAATCATCTATCATTTACTAATTTTAAATGAATATAATTTATTACATTCACTTAATACTAACACTTAAAACTTGCATATAAAAATTAGATACATTATCCGTCAAAGACTAAAATCTTTCCAAAAATAATTAACAGATACCTGGATTATGTAGCGTGGCGCCTTTTATATAACTGGCCATCATATTCCGTCTGTCATATTTTTATATTTCTATTGTTCTTATGTTTTTACAATTCTGTCATTATTAGTCTTTGTTTTCTTATCGATGAAGACGTGATAAAAGAAAACTACAATATTTAAGCATTTTTATTATCAATCCGTTTCTCTTAATTGGTGACCCCGACGTGATAAAAGGCGTATTATGATGGCCAGTAATACGCCACACCTATAAGAATTATATCGGTGATAATGTTTCGAAAATTAATACAAACACACTTTGCTTTGTTTTTTTTATTTTTTATTAAATTCAAATTATTATAAATACCAAAAAGTTTTCATGTGTTAACAGACTTCTACCTTTTATTTGAAGTTGATTAAAACACTAAAAGCAGTATGATTCTATGCAATCATTATCTAACGCGAAACGAAACACAAAATCTAAGCCCATTAACCCACTAATCTAAAATGCGGTGAACATGAATGAATGACTAGAAAAGAATCCGTGCTAACGACCGTATTAATATAATAAAAGCATGAATTATTACGTTATAGAATTCTAAATCATTTATTCTCAATTACTGTAATTTGCTGCCTACAAAGAAATTTGCACTCTTAATTCTTTCTTATGTATAAAGAAAATAATCTTTAGGCGCGCAAAAGTTTCATTGCTCTTATTAATTTTTTTTTTACTGCCTTGGCTTTTACTGGCAACTGCGGCCGCGTGATTTTTTAAAGTATATAAGTACTTAAACGTATCAAGATTAAAATTGTAAAATCACATCCAATTTCGTTTTTGTTTAATAATTAAAAATAATACTAAATAATAGCATTATTTTTAAATAATATTATTTATATTAAGTTAGTTATATTAAGTTAAGTTAGTTAAATAATTAGCTAGTTAAGTTATTTATATTAAGTTAGTTAGTAAGTAAGTTCTATTAATCTTACTAAACCCTCACATCAATTTTTCTTAAATACATCTTAGGTATCTTTTATGTACAAACATCGTCTAGTTACAATTTTATTATATTCTCTCTCGGGTTCTCAATTCTAATATTTTTTTTTATCTTGCTCAATCATCATCATCATATCAACCATTAATTCTCCACTGCTGAACATAGGTCTCCCCCATAAGAAAGGTTTTGCCAGTAGTTGCTACGCTTGGCAGGCGTGTTGACAACCGCAGTTGCAGCCATGCTGATGTTTTAAGAAGGACCTGCTCATCTCTCGACCATTACGTTTCGTTACTCACCTATTACGACACCCACAGGAAAGGAAGGGGTGATTCATTCTGTGTCGAGAGCACACGGCACACAATATTTTCTTTTAAACACTTTTTGGAATCGATACAATTTACTGCAATGTTAGTAACATGTGATTAAAACAGTGTTTTTTTGTATGGAGTAACATAACTTGTATGTTTTTTTTTTTATACAACTTAGAATGGCAAACAACCTGACGGCCCACCTGATGGAAAGTGACTGATTATTGTAAACCAGGATATTTTATACAAATCTTATAATAAAGATCTTTCTTTCACTAGCAATTTCTTGCTTTTGCTTGTGTCTGCAATTAAAAATATTTTTTTCCTATATCACTGTATTTTTTAATGCGACTTTGAATAGCAAACAAGCTAACGGCCTACCTGATAGAAACTGATGGTATTGATGGTATCATCTATATGCTTTAATTCTTCAGGAACAACACTAGTTTTCATAGAAAACTGCCACATTCTGATTCGAATCTACTCCTCATTGTTCACAGGATCGTGATGAACAAACGAAACTGGAGATGAAACACCGACAGGAGGAAGACGATTTGTATAGGAAATTCTCCAAGCATCGCGAAGAGGAAAACAGAAGAATACGAGAAGAAATTCAGGTAACTCATGAAATATTTTAAAATATGATGTAACTCTAATATTTCTAATACATATGATGCAATCATATGTATGAGTATATAGGATCTTAATACGTATTATTACCACTTAGTAGCTGAGCTCGCGTGGCTGTGTTTAAATACATACATATCTGTCACGCCTGTCTCCCATTAGGGTAGGCAGAAACAATGGAACGCCAAATGCTTCGATTCAAACAAACCTCTTTCGCTTCTTCCACATTCATCAATCTGGCTGTGTTTATATTTGAAAAAATGGGATAGCCCAAAGATATTTTTTATAATGGCTCATAATGGAACGGTAACCCCACCTGCGCTAACGGTATACGCTGGCGGGGAACCAGTGAGTGATGATTAGTAAGAATGAAAAGGCAAATCAGTTAACCCATCGTGATAAATCCACCTGGAATTCAGCACGATGATTTCCAAGGGCAACCACGTGGAAGTCGACCTGACAGGGTATATTGCTAGCAATGGGACTAGTAATCCACATTACTAAAAATTCTTTCCCCCCGATTTAAAGGGTTGGCAGTGAAATTGCAAGATATGCAGGCATAACACCATAGTCCTAAGAAATAGCAACGCATGAAAAGTAACGTAGGCGTCACATTATACAATTGATGCTCATGGTTGTATACAGGCGATGGTTATTACTTTCCATCAGGTGAACCGTCAGCTTGTCTGTCTGAATTTCATAAAAAACATCTATCAATGAAATCTTATAGGTTGTTATGGTATAATCACTAGGATGAGTGGGAGCGCGAATTGGAGAGGCTAACTAACCGGTTTCAACAAGAGATGCAAGTTAAAAAGAGAAGACCAGACGCTGAGATCGGCGCACTAACCCTCCGGCACCAGCAAGAGAGAGCCGATCTAGAGAAGAACATGACACTAAGAAGAGACAAGAAGAAAGAAAGTCTCACAAGGAAGATGTTGGAGCATGAAAGGTAAAATTGAATCCTTACTTAAAATTAATGTTTCTATAAACTGTATTTCTGAAGTTTCATGCGTAATTTCATTTATAAGATTTTAATAAGAATGATTACTTTTTTATTATTTCCTTAGTTTTTACGTTATTGTTTACGTTAACATACAACGACAATAGCTAAAATTTTTTTTTATTATTTGTTTCTTATTTTCTTTGCCCAAGCAATGAACTCCGACTATCTGATCTAGAATTGTGTTCAGGGCCATATTTTATAGTGGTATAAATATGGTAAAATATACATTCCCATTAATACCTCCCGTCAATGTTACTATTATTTTCTCTGTAGCTGCATTGGGTTGGCTGGAAGAGATCTCTTTTAAGAAATAAGCCTACCCTTGCTAACAAGTTGTTAAACTAATCGCTGTATCTTTTGTTCAAATGCAATAAATATATATATATATATATATATATATATATATATATATATATATATATATATATATATATATATATATATATATATATATATATATATATATATATATATATATATATATACATACTAGCTTCGAAGGTTTTTGTTTATAAACGTAGTGATCATGTTGAAGAAATTTCATCCCCTATCTTTCAACACTTTGGTATTTCATCGTACCTCTAAGAAAACATGTAGATATTTCATTTACTCTTTACAATGGTAAAATGAAATACCAAGGGGTGAAAGACAAGAGATGAAATTTACAAAATTACGTTGACCTTTTGTTTATAAATAAATTAATTACAAATTATAGAGAATACTTATATGAAAACCACAAAAATTAATTATTGCTAATTGCAGGGCAGCAACAGCCGCACTAGTCGAAAAGCAAAGTCATGAGATGATGGAACTTATACAAGAGAGACGATCAGAGTACATGGCGGCCTCATCATTATACTTGGACGGAGAGGAAGCGCCCCCATACCCCGCCAGGGCCCCAGCACCATTGCCACCACTAGTCTCCAAGTTCCACATCTACACTGATCCTGCGGAGTTTGCTGATGTTGACAAGATAGCTATTTCGGTAAGATTAAAACAAAAAACTTCTAAAGTTTTTACAGAGTAAGAATGGAATCTGGTACTATTTCTTCTCAGCCGCAGAATGTTATTAGGCGTTAAAAACATACGCCGCACTGCTGTGTACTGACATATACATATTATATGAAAACTGTGAACAGTTTTAGTGAATAGTTTTCAAATAGCGTACAAATAAAAAAAACGCGTTAACAATTATTAATTTAAGGTCGATTTCTTCCACAACAGAATATCAATGTTTTGCTCTTTTGAGGGCAAAACAATAAACTGAGTTTTAACCATTTTGTGTTGCTATGGTACATGCATGAAAGAAGAAAACTGTTACTTGTTTTATATATTTTGCTTTTTTTTGTATATGCATTCTATTATCTCTTTCTACTGTATATGTTTGTTGTTATTTGTGTGCTGTAAGTATTTTTTTACTTTTATTTTAATATTACATCTGTAGTAGCAATGCAAATAAATTATCTATCTATCTATCTTCCTGCCTTCTTAAACCGGAGAAAAAATTACACTGTGCTGCCATTGAATCATGTATAATCAATGGTAGCACAATGGTAATCAGAAAAGTCACGTAAAACTATATCAAATAAATACTTTTTTACAGGTGGCACAAGAAGACCAAAAAACCTTCACAGATCTAGTCCGGCAACTTGTAGGCAGATGTGCTACAGATGTGGAAAAGGCTAGAACCATATTCCGTTGGATCACAGTCAAAAACCTCAATAACATACAGTTCGATGACAACCTGAGAGGCGACTCGCCCCTCGGTTTACTAAGAGGCATCAAACACGGCACTGAGAGTTACCATGTACTGTTTAAGAGATTGTGCAGGTTGGTTAGAGCTAGCTTAGCTTTATTCTATACTTATAGTAACTTTTAGGATGTTTACTTCATACGATAGAGATATTTTCTAGATAACTAACTCCAATTGTTTTCTATTGTAAAAAAAAAACTAACAAACAAATAAATTGCCACGTTTTTACAAACTTCTATTACCATGTACTTTTCTGTAAAATCTTAATGAAATGAAAGCCACAAAAGAATACAGACGCATCCAGAACTTTCATCCTCTTAAAAAACCACTTTAAAAGAATATTTTTACAGTTACGCAGGCCTTCACTGCGTGGTCATCAAAGGGTACAGCAAGTCGGCCGGTTATCAGCCAGGGGTTCGCTTTGAGGACAACCGTTTCCGCAACTCGTGGAACGCGGTGTACGTGGCTGGCGCCTGGCGATTCGTGCAGTGCAACTGGGGCGCCAGGCACTTGGTCAACGCTAAAGACGCACCCAAACCCGGCAACAGGGGCAAGAGTGATAGTTTGAGGTTGGTTTGTTAAATAAAAGTAACTAGATTTTACCCGCAACAACGTTTATAACACATCTCATAAAGCACAAAACAGTTATTGAAAAGCAAATTTCTTGTAAATAAATATTATTCAAGTTTGTAGAAATGAAGCACCAGGGCGTTTTGCCTAAGGGCGCCTCAGTAAAAGGTCGCGTGGTGACTTTAGTTAGGGAGCACTGTCAAAAATTTGCCCAATGGCTCCAGATAGATTTAGACTGTACAAAAGTCGATTGCTTGAGTACCTCTGTCCCATTCGTGTTTCTACCGTGAAGCAGTTGTGTTTGCATAGCTGTGTTTCGGTTTGAAGGGTGGGATATGGCGTGAATTTACAGAGTACAGAGGAATAACATCTGAGTCCTCAGGAATGGCAACGCATGGGGGGTATCATGGGCGAAACAGTATACTCTGTTATATCCATGATACTGCTCATGTCTATAGGCGACGGTTACCATTTCCCATCAGGTGGGCCGTCAGCTTGTTTGACATTCTAAGTTGTATAAAAAAAACTGTGTAGATCGAAAATGATTTTTAAAATTTTATCAATTCCAGATACGAGTATGACGACCATTACTTCCTGACGGACCCTCGCGAGTTCATCTACGAATTCTTCCCCCTGCAGCCGGACTGGCAGCTACTGAAGACGCCCATCACGCTGCATGACTTCGAAGAGTTGCCCTTCGTACGCTCACTGTTCTTCAGATACGGACTGTATTTCAGTGATCCGAACACGAAGGCTGTTATGTATACAGACTCAACTGGTGAGTGTTTATCTGGCTAACTCGAACTAAATTTAAGACCTTAATAAACAAAATGGACAGAAGCGTCGCAGGTCGTTGTGTTAATGTCTTTGCCAATGTAGGTTCAGGTTTATATGCTTTGAAAATACATTTTTTTATAATACTTAGAGGGTAAAGCGATCAGCTTTGATGGCCCACTTGATAAAAAGTGGCAACCGGTACCTATTACATACGAATGGCACTAGGAAGAGCACAGTACACGCTGTATTGAGCTGTTAATAAACCATGCGGGATACTTTACCATTACCGAATACCTCCATACCCTGAAATTTCTCAAGCAATATACTTTCAAATCGAAATTATTATAATTATTCAAGAGGATTAAAATATTACACCTCCAAATATAGTAAGAAAATAAGTGCAATTAGGTACAATCCTTGTGCCTCCGAATACGAGTATGGAGGGGAGGGAAGGGATTGTTAGTAATGGGTTCTAATAGCCCCATTGCTAGCAATATACCCTATTAAATCGACATCCACACGGTTCGCCCTGGAAACCATCATGGTTAATTGTTGTAGAATTCTTCACGATGGGCCTACTGACCTATCTTCGTCCTCATCAACCATCCTCAATTAATCATCATATCACTTGTCCCCCCCCCCTAGCCTATACCGACAGCGCAAGCAAGGTGTACCATTCCATTTTCACCCATTAAAAAAATACAAGTATAGGTATCCATAGACAACGATGCATTATGATCTTGCCAAAATACAAAACAGTGCCTTATTTTAAGACAATTATGCTTTTAGGTGCGGCGACTATGCGCATAGCCATGCCGGCACATATGCAGAGCTCCCTGATCTTCCATTACAACCTCAAGTTCTACGACACAGAGGGCGATGGCTTCGATGGAGTCAGCCTTAAAAGATTTGTCATGCAGGTATACAGTACTCCATGGAGGTTACAGATTGAATTACCTGAATAATTTGAATATACCTAGAGCGTTAACATTATCATATATATGTGTATTAGTCTATCGGGATTTGACCTTTTTAAACCTATAAAAAGGATGTTGTACTATTTTTATCTATATTTTTAAATTGTCTTTGATTCTTGCAATTCTTTTTTAGAACGTTTATTTTTTTTAAATAAATAGGTTCTTTATATTATGCTTTGAAAAAATAGAAGATCTATTTTCAATTTATGTCCGTAATTGACAGCCTCGGTGGTGTGGTGGTTTAATACGCCGCCACAACATAGATGTTTGTATGATCGATTCCCGTTCTTTAGGATATATTTGTTTTGTTCTATATTTATTTTACATATAATTTTTATGTACATTATTGTAAAATATATTTGCAAAATAGCATTTTACAATATGTTTATTAATTATCCAGTTACCATAGTACGGGATGTATTGAATTTGGGACAAGATTAAGCTGTGTAAAAAAATTGGTACGAATTTAACGTTTTGTTTTTCAAATGTCGTAACAGTCAGTGGTAGGCAACGTGGTATCGTTCCGGGTTCACGCGCCTTGCAGCGGAGCCTTCTTGCTGGATATCTTCGCGAATGCTGTCACGCCGCGAGAATACCTCACCGGGGAGCCCATGAAATTCAAGAGCGTCTGCAAGTTTAAGGTATGCCTATATACTAGCTTTTAACCCTGACTTCATACGCGTAACCGCGATATATTGATTGATGGGGCTAAATAGCTGTCTATGTCCTTCTCCTTCTCACATAGTATGTATACTAAATTTCATGGTAGTTGGTTCAGCTGTTAAGACGCTACAAGGTCTCTCTTTCACATGTATAATATTAATATGGCCAGATTTTAACACACGACCATTGGAATCTATAAATCCGTCTACCTTATAAGATACATTAGAAACTACTACTAAAGGGATTGTTAGTAATGAATTTTAAAAGTCTCATTCCTAGCAATATACCCTATTATTTCTCACTGATGCTCTACCAGCGTATACCAATAATGCAGGCAGGGTCGTCATTCCATTTTCACCCCCAAAAAATATCGGAGTATTTAAGAGGCGTTGATCTATATTCATCTACGACGTAAATAAAAAAAAACTATTGCTGTATCTCAATATTTTTTTTTATAATAATAATAATAATATTTATTAAGTAAAAAAATACATGTTTCAATTTTACATTTGTTCCCAAAACTTCACACTAGGATTCCCTGTGTCGTGAAGTCTTGGGCCCTCTTCTACTTACAAAACTTATTAACTATAATAATATATAAACTTTAAATACATAAACAATTTAGATTTATACACATTTTTACATTTTTACATATATGTTTTGTCACTATGTTTTTCATGTATGTTTTATACTACTTAGAATAGCAAACAAGCTGACGGCCCACCTGATGGAAAGTGGTAACCGTCGCCTATTGACGTGAGCAGTACCATGTACATAACAGAGTATACTGTTTTGCCGATGGTACCCCTATGCGTTACCATTCCTTAGGACTTAAGTGTTATTCCTCTGTACCCTGTAAATTCACGCCATATCCCACCCTTCAAACCGAAACACAACCATGCAAACACAACTCCTTCACGGTAGAAACATGAATGGGACAGAGGTACCCAAGCAATCGACTTTTGTACAAAGTCTCCCTCTGGTAAATATATGGTACACTCGTCCTGTTAAATTCACTGACGAAAATTTATTCTGTGATTCAGATTTGCTGTGCGGAGCTGCAGACAGTTATGGTTCCCCTGCCAGACTGTGCAAGCGGCGAGTGGGGACCCACTAAGGCCACCAGACTCTTTGGTCTCGTGCCTATAACGCACCAGGTAATTCACTATTTTCAAGTCCTTGCGTAACGTATGTGTAACAAGTTTTGTAGTCTGTTTGAATGGAAGCATTTAATATTATAACTTTTATACCTACCCCAATAAGAGTTAACCGTGACATTTATTATTGTTTTTTGTTAAATTTTATTATCAAGAAGTCAATTTAAATTAGATTTTGACTTTTTTTATTAATAATAATTAAAAAAAAAACCTTTTTCTTTTCAAGTAGTATAAAACAAAAAGAAGTTCATTTTGATTTATTTTAAACAGTAAAAAATAAATTTGGCTATTTGGAAAAAATATAAAACAAAATGGCGATGTAATATTGACAGGAGGCGTTAGTGTTCGCTGGTCGAGAACTAGAGATACAGTTCCGTATGTCGCGACCCTTGGCCGACTTCATGGCGACTCTCCATAAGAACGGCGTTGACGAGAAGAGACTCTCAAAGTACGTGCAGCAGAACGTGTCTGATGACATCGTGTCCTTCTACATCACTTTCCCAGAAGAAGGTAAGGACTATCTTATGTAACTAATATTATTGTATTAATATTGTAACTAGGCAATGTCTGTACATAGAAGATTTATTATATTCGAAAATACTAAATTTATTAGAAGATTTTTTTTTTCTAATTTATTATTTATAATTTTTTTAATCGATAACGTTTATTTTTCTATTGGTACCATAGTACTTTTACAAAATGACCAACCATTTTATTATTTAATTATTATTATTTATTAATATTTTTTTTTATCTGTATTTTACTATTCTATTATTTTTGTGAATATTAAATGATTATATTATAGCTCCACTCTTCTAACAATAACATTTTAGAAAAAAATTCTCACAAAACATGGAAATATGAATCCATCTCTAGCGAACTCCAAAATAACCTCAATGCGTACAAGTTAGTACTGTACAGCATGATGTAATTTTTTAATAATATTCTTTGTTCAGGTCAATACGGACTGGATATATACACACGCGAGCGCGGAGGGCCCACAGCTATCCACCAAAACGGCTCCACCGAGAAAGAGAAGCACCTTCTCACGCACTGCTGCAAATACCTCATCAATAGTAGCAAAAGGAATTGATAATTTAGTGTCGACATTAAAAAGTCGAACGCCGTCAAATTAAACAAAGCAATACTTAGTAATTGGCAACTCCCGTCTTAGTAAATGACAATGTCCTCCATGGTTATTGGCAACTTCCATAGTAATCGCCAACACCCACCTTTTTAATTACCAGCACCCAATCTAGTAATTGATAACGCCTTCCATGGAGGTCGACAATGCTCTACTTAGTAATTGGCGACAATGCATTGTATTTGGCGACATCGTCAATACGTTAAATACGTTGCTAATGTGTACAACAGCGAAAATGTCACGAGTTATTGAAAATCTAATTTAACTAATCCGAAATTAATATTCTGTTAATTGTACTCATATCATCAAGTATCAAGAACAAGACATTGAAATAATATTAAATTGCAAAATACAGTCTTCCTTTTAAATATCGTACGTCCATTTCATTTAAACCCATATAATCTCCTAGAATTTGTTTTGGTATAATATTGTATACCTACAATTACTAGAAAACTTAGAAGTATTCTAAAATTAAATTTTCGCACGCAAACGGAAGATTTGTTGAAGAGTGGCCAGCAAGCAACAATGAAATGTTTTATAAATGAACGTGTATTATGTTTATTCAATTATAGTTATTTCAGTTATAGCATACATTTGTAACAATTGCTTGTATTCTTATTGTAACGTTAAATATTTTTAGAGACGTTTTAATGTATTTTTAAAGAAATATACCCAAATGTAGATAATTGTTAGTTATAGGTTAAATAAATGAAACTCCGTCCAATTATTATATAAACATTTATTGTAGATTTTACACTAATATTTTAGACAAATCTATGTCATTTGTAAATTATATATTTAAATCGGATATTAAGAGATAGATTTCATAAAATTTATACATGAATATGATAAGTACAGGTTGTGCTGAAGCAATCCAATTGCTTTGTTATATTTTTATTGCATTGTATAAACAATAAATTATATAAGGTTATTGAGATTCTAGTGGCAGTTTACATAATATTATAATTATTAAGTCAGGACCCTATGCGAGTATTAATATGACGCGTTGTAATACAAGTAACATACAAGCGCTGCTTACAATTTAATGTTTTCATATGTCACTTTTAGATAGCAATATTTCTGCGTAAAACAGTCTAAATTGCTTATGCATAGTTCTGAATGCAGATAATTTTATAGCTTAGTTTTTTTTTTTATCTAGAAAAATGGGTCCAGGACTGTCACACACAGTGTTCATAGAATTTAAAAAATTAAGTTGACACATTTGAGGACGTAAATCGAAATAGATTGCTATATTTTATTACATCTTTTTTTTTTTGTTACACGCCCAATAAAATACAGCAATTTATTACTTAGCGTAGCGAGCATTAAGTATGCTTAATGTCTAATTTATAATGTATTTTTTTATATTTAATAAACACGGCAATATATGTAAATTTTATAAAAATATATGGCATGTTATTTTTCTAAATATATATTTTATTTCTAAACAGATCTTTACGGTGAGATTCATCACTGAACCAGCATTCACTGATAAGACTGTGCAAATGAGGGACAATCTGTGACGTACTTTTTATCCGTTATAAAGACATCTAGAATGACTTGATACACAAGTACCTTTGTAGCTGACATGATGGGAAATTTTGTCCTTCTCAAACAAAATAGTCCCTCGTTTAGGCAGGCCGTGAACATCAGGTTTTTAACCTTTTTTGTTGTAAGTAGAGGCCGACTGTCCACCTAATGGTAAGTGGTATCCATCGCCTGTAGCATCAGTAGCACCATGGACTTCTCCCTCAAGACAGCAATATGCAAGTGATGCCTCTGGTGTTGCAAGCGTTCATAGATTGCTGTGATTGCTTACCACCAGGCGGACCGTATGCAAGATTATAAAACAAATCATATATATAAAAAAGGCCTAACTAAACTAGAATTATACAGCACACGAGGCGAGTATTGGAACGTAATTTCATATCACACTAATCATTATTAAAACTATATAAAGCTAAATTTAAATCGATCACTGAGCACCAGATTCAAGTGGGACGGCACATTTTAAAACTACCTACATATTTATTTATTTATTTTTATTTAATAACACTAATTACGGTTTACTTTCTATATCATGGTCAGCTATTTTATTATATAATTCATAAATTGGGCAAGTAGGTATAGTATTTTCTTTTTACTTTATTTTTAATATTTCTTTTTTTATTTTTATGTCATAAAAAGTGGAAATTATATTGATACAATAAGTCTCAGATCATGAAGTAGAATTATGAGACCAGCCAGAAATTATAACTAGTTTTCCCCCGCGACATAGTCCACGTCACAGGTTTATATCACACAAATTTTCACCAAATTTTTTGATGACTGATTAAACCGTTAACTCGCCAAGGGATAACAGACAACGAGACGTTCACATTTATAATATTAATAAAGATAATAATATCATTTCATTTAATCATATTATAGCCCAATACACTTATAAAGAAAGATCCTAAGCTACCACACATTCGAGTCCTTGTAACACATGCCAACACATTGCATAATGTGGTTACACTCGAGTATTCAATACATTCATAATACATTTCTGTAGACGCAAAAATATTCTTAATTACCACACTTTATTAAAAATTACTCAAAAATACATTCCATTTTCAAATTACTATTTGTCATAATTCATACGAAATGTTAACCCTTTGCACTCCGCTGTCGCGGCTACGGCGACACTGTTTTATACACTCAGCACCCTTTATAAAATAGCTAAGAAATAAATGTTTTATTTTATATCAACGACTCCATTTTTCTTTTACATCACGAGTCTGTACTTGCTGGAGTGCAAATGGTTAATATTATTATTTTCTCTCTTTATCAATCAATAGATATTAAATAGTCTTGAACACTATATAAAAAAAAATGCTCAGTATCTTTATGAGCAAACATCATTCACAAATTCTGTACACGATTTTAAAATATTTTTTTAACGTAACACTCAAAAAATACATTAAAAAAAAATAAGCAAATTGACTAAATCATTTAAGCACATTAAAAAATCCACTGTATTAAGATGCAACTTACAAAAGTAATATAAACTATTTCAATATATCTTAATAAAAATACAACCAAGTATTATTAAAATTATCAGAGAACCAATTTCTAATTCAAATTAGTAACAAATACAAACATTTATTTAGTTTTAATAGATTTTTGTTGGTACTATTATTGAATATCAACATGGATATGTTTTGATCGCTTCAATTATTAATTTGTTTACATTTTTAATGAATTCTATTGAAATAGACTATAGTACTATACTAGCATATATTCTTCTACATTCATACCAATCCCTTGTTAGCGTTAAGCGTGGCTCTCTGCTCCACTCCTCGTATTAAGGTTCCCAACAGGCCTTCCATCTCGTTTGCCGTTTCGCGCAATTGCGTGTTATCAAAACACGAATCTAAAACAAAAAATTAAAAAGTATTAAAAAAGGAAGCCTGGTGGGCCGTGCCCACCACAGAACTGTCTGGTGCCCACCCTATGATGAAGAATATAGGGATCTAGAAATAAGTAAATATATATGAAAACGAAAATTGTGCAACACACGAATTGTGCGTACACACAGACCAGATCGGAGATTTTGATTGCATTTAAAATAAAATTTTAAGATCATTAAAATAAGGTTTATTTTACATATCACTTCTTTTGCTATATGAGAATGCTAAAGCGCCGGCAAAATAGGGGAGGCAAATATAAAGTATATTTGCAGATTAGTACGATAGAAATTTTAATTTGATATACATTTTATATTTCAGATAACAAAAGAATTTTTTTAACTTGGTTTACAACTACGAACTATGAGGTAAGAACCTCCTTCTTTTAAAAGTCAGATGAAAATAAACCTTATTTAAATGACCTAAGAGTTACTTTGAACACTTACCATCGACAGCAAAATTATTGGTGAGTATCTGCTGTAACCGGTCCAACACCGTGTCGAGGTCGGCGTTCAGTTCCTTCATCTTGTCGTTACTAGACGCCACGCTCCGGATGTCAGCGGCGTACTTCTGCTCTGTGGCAGACAGTGATTGGTTTTTGCCTGCTAGCTTATCAGGTTGCTGGCCACGTTTGTCTCCTACAGATTCTGTTTCTGGAATACAGTTATTAATGATGTGATTACACACGAGTATTCAATACCTATGAATGTAATACGAATAACATGTTCTCAAATAAACGGTTATTTCTATAGATGCAAAAAAACACTCTTAAACCTCTTTACCAGAAGGAGACTGTACAAAAGTCGTTTGCTTGAGCAACCCTATCCCATTCGTATTTCTACCATGAAGTAGTTGTGTTTGCATGGCTGTGTTTCTGTTTGTAGAGCGAGAAAAAGCAGTGAATTTACAGGGTACAGAGGAATAACATCAAAATACCCAGGAATGGTGAGTATCATGGACGAAACAGTATACTCTGTTACGTCCATGGTACTGCTCATGTCTGTAGGTTACCATTTTCCATCAGGTGGGCCGTCAGCTTGTTTACCGTTCTAAGTTGCATAAAAAAATATCATAATGAAACGTCCAAACGTCAGCAATAAAGAAGCAGATACTATTTATCTGCAAAATTTTTATCACGCTAAGCCCCAATAGTGTATTTAAATATGTGTAAACAATGCGAAATGTTCCATTAAATTTATTTTGTGCCAGAAAACATAAATAAATGTAGCAAAAAATGTATTATACAGTGTACTTTGACTAGGCCCAAGTTCCAGCTTTATATATTTCTGTAAAATCTCCCTAAGTTAGTAATATCTACATGCAATATTAAAACATACCATTATACCAATTGCTAATATCGTTCATAGACACAGTAGATATGCTGTCTGATGTGGCATGAATCACCACTGGTTTAAGAGCATCTCCAGACATCGTCATCAATTTCAGACTCTCAGTATGCTTCGACACCTCTGAGAAGTTTCCAGAATCCATGCTCAAGACCCGGGGCTGGTTCTTAAATTCTGCTACTTTGGATTGTTTTTCCTCTATTGGTATTGGACTGAATAGATCAAAAGCCTGAGGGCGCTCAGTTTTCTCTGGTTTCTGAGCCTCGGGAGGTACATTTTGTATGTTTGATGACAGATTTTCCTAAAATTTTTTTTTTATTAGTTTATTTGCGACTTCAATCGATTTTGATCATAAGCTCAGTTGAATTAAAAAATAAGAATCGAAACATTATCAATGAAAACTACATAGATTACAGTATCTGTAAACTACTAAGCAATATGTCTATATACATGTGTAATGGTTATTTTATATACTGTTTGTGAATTCATACAACTTTACCAGAGGGAGACTTTGTAAACAAAAGTCGATTGCTTGGTTACCTCTGTCCCATTCGTGTTTCTACCGTGAAGCAGTTGTTTGCATGGCTGTGTTTCGGTTTAAAGGGTGGGATATGGCGTGAATTTCCAGGGTACAGAGGAATAACACCTGAGTCCTCAGGATTGACAACGCATGGGGAGTATCATGGGCAACACAGTATACTCTGTTATGTCCATGGTACTGCTCATGTCTATAGGTGACAATTACCATTTTCCATCAGGTGGGCTGTCAGCTTGTTTGCCATACTAAGTGGTATAAAAAAAAATTGTTTCGACTTCATTCAGAAGTCTTTTTCAGGGTGAGTACGATACTTTATAGCGCAACATCTCGCCTTGCATTGTGAGTCGTCATACGAGAGAGACACTGTGGCAAACATAATAAGTTCATAAAATCAATGTTACATATATATTAAATTATATATATGTGATAAACTTTGTTAAAAAATTTACATAAGTTTGAAAAATAATACTCAGCAATATTTTGCACTCTTTTTTTTTCTTTATAGAAAAACGAGTTTGGATTATAGTCAAGCTGGTCCAGAATTAATACCAAAAAGTCCAGGCAGTAAAGTTTATATCTTAATATATGGACATGTTAAAATCTTCACCTTTAATATCTTGAGCCTGTTAATTTGCGTAGATATCTGATGCCAGTGTGTTTCTACTTTATCCTTTAGATTAATGTCTTCTGAATCTTTTGATATTGATTGCAATTGGGATGAGAGATCTTCTAGTGCCCTAAAATTAAAAATTATAAGAAATCTGTATCCTTACATTAATTATGTAGAAAAAGATGATGACAGTCACATATAAGGGGATGAATAAATTTAGACAAAATTGAGAACATTTCAATTTATATTTAAAGAAATATTCATTGACTATTATTATAGTACCTTAGTGTTTGATGGTTGAGGGATGGGCAACAGGATCCATCAGCATATTCTAAAATCACCAAAGCTTAACTGTGGTTGTCAATTCGCCTACCAAGTATGCACGTACTGGCAAAACCCCTCTTTAAAAAGGAAAACCTATATTCAGTAGTGCATAGTTAACGGCTGATATGATGATGATGATGATGATGATGATTATGATAGTTTCTTATGATTAACAAAAAATTTTTTTTCTTGTTGACATCACCTCGAAAAGTGCCTAATAGTGGGAACATAAGATATTACTGTTATAACTTACTTGTTCTGAGATTCCAACTGAGTTATAATATCCTGCAACATGACAGCGGGATTGTTAACTGCATTTCCCGAAGCCTTGCCAACTGTTGACGTAAATATGACAGGTCTACTGTCGCGCTTTCTTCGTACTGAATTGTCGACTTTATCTATCATCTTTTTTGGGTTCTTTTTCGAAATCTTTTTCTTTCTCGTCCTCGTGCAAAAGAAGAAACGCTTCATTCCCTTAATAAAACTAAGGCACTCTGAAGGCTTCGTCTAGAAGAAAAACTACTTATAAGTGAAAATATATAAACAGCAACAATTTTAGAATTCTCAGTTCGATGGGTATGTGACGTTGATCCCATATCGTCACAATTAATATTATGTAGACACCCTGGCTGGGTGTCTACAAACTTAGAGGATACCGATAATTCCAACACTATATTAGTTACAAGTACATACCTATGATGTAAAAGAAAAATGGAGTTGTTGCAATAAAACAAAACATTTATTTCTTAGCTATTTCATAAAAGGCGCTGAGTCAGTAAAACAACCGGTTCACCGTAGCCGCGATAGTGGATTTAATGTTAGCATTTTAATGTCGCAAATACGGCGACAAAGGTGTGCAAAGAGTTAATATTCAAAATAATCTTGGTAAATTTATAAAGAAATATAGAAGCCTGCCTAACCAGTGAAATATTAAAGCGTTATTAATAAAGAATCTAATAATAAATTAATTAAACAAAACTGTAAATAGCTCAGTTTAAATAACTCAACACAGATGGCATATTACCTCTCCATCAATTATTTCATGCACCAAATGAGTCTTCTTATGTCCACTGACTGCAGACAAGTCCTTGTCGTACAAATAACATTTCTCACACAAGTACACTTCAGTGCACTTGCTGCATTTGAATTTGAGCACCTGAAAGTGTGAATAAAAAAGAATAATGCATAATCAGAAATGTCAGAAATTAATGAGTTTAATAAATATCAATTAAGTATTTAAAGATATCAAAAGAATATGTGTGAACTTTTATAAGACAAATATAAAATTTTAATATATTCATTATTATTATGAATTAGATAAATATAATTATATTGTATAAATCTATTTATTACAAGTTGTTACCATTACTCAATTCTATTTTAAAAGCATGTATTAAATTTTTTTTGTAACTTTGTCTTACAATCTGACATCATGGAACATTAACCATCAGCTATAGAAATTAAGTTATTATTTACAATATATTTATTTATTTTTAGAGTAGAACTCCTCAACTCCAGTCAAGTTCAGTGCAATTCTTAACAGATGATAACCATTGTTGAGACATCTGAACCCACCTGTATAAGAGGCTGCGTACACGCAGCGCACACAGCGCTCACGTTAGCGCTGTTTCTGCTGCACACTACTCGCTGCACGGCCGGTAGCCATCGCGTGCTTGCACAATTCACTACCCCCCACTCGGCCACTGCGCGTGTACTTACGCCGAGCATACCCGCGCTCTGAAGTATATCAATTCAGAAATAAGATAAAAAAAACACAGTGACATTATAATATTACTACTACTACTCGTGAGGGGGGGGAGGGGGAGGGATTGTTAGTAATGGGGTCTAATTGACCCATTTCTAGTATTACATTTTATCAGGTCGACCTCCATGCGATTGGTTAATTCTAATGGAGTTTGTCACAATGGGCTAACTGACCTGCCTTTTCATCCTCACCTGTCATCCCTCACTGGTGAGTATACCGATAGCGCTAAAAAAAACTCGTGAGAGGGTATCGCCCTCTGGTGACAAAAAATTATAGGCCATCATCATAATATAGAAAGGCATCTGACATGGCATACTGAAGGGCATTGGTGTATATAACTTATTTTGCACTGGAGGAGGGAGGGGGGCTAGCATTCCCAAACAATCACCAAAGCCTAATTGCGGTCAACCTGCCTGCCAAGCATGGCAACTACAGGCAAACCCTCCCAATATAATAATAGAGACAGTTAATGACATATAAAATATGATGAATATAAATATTTAGTTATTTAAATATTAAACATACACAAACTAAATTGAGTAGTACTCAATTATCTTTTAATACACCAATATTAAATAAATAAATACATACATATGCTTATGATTTAATCCCTATGAGCAGTTAATCACATGCAATTGTCAACTCTTGCCATTACTCTGAATGTAATAAACATTATAAAACAAAAAAAACATACATACATACATACTTATTCATTATATCTGTAGCCCATTAGGGTAAGCAGAAACAATGGAACACCAATTGCTCTGATTCAAATAAACCTGTTTTGCTTCCTCTAGATTCATCAATCTATGTATACATACATCATTGCTAAATACGGTAAAAACAAGTAAACATATAATTAACTAATAAGAAATAGTAACAAATACCTTTTCAAAGCAAGCATCAACATCAGCCTGCAGCTGGTCACAGGGTACTCCAAGGTACTGCGGTAGCGCTGTCACATGGGCCAAGAGGGCCGCTAACCGTCGTGGAGACACGCAACCATTATGGTCAGCGCAACAATTAGCAAGAGCCGCCCATTTATCGGCCGCCGACTCCGTACTGAGCACAATCAGCAGTGTTTTTGCTGACAATACTCTCACTGGTTCTTTTCTATCTCTACAATAACAATTTATTTTAATCAACTTTAAAAAAAATTAACTGTATATTTTTATTAATAACTATTGTATATCATACAAATTATCTAAAAAGAATAAACAAAGTCAAAGCCCAGTGAAAATGTTCATGAAATTGTACAATTTTACTCAAGCCACATAAGTTACAAAAGGCAATGTGATCAAAGTGAAAAAGTATAAGGTTGAAAAAATACATTTTTAGATATTTTACTTTTGTTTTTAGAGCAAATTGTTTACTGGGTTTTAGCTTGATATACCCTATACACCTAACAGTGTATAGAGTTCTATTACTTTACTTATTATGAATACCAAACTAGTTTTGAATTCAATAGAAGCTCTATTTTTTTTTTATACCACTGAGGTGGCAAACAAGCATACGGCCCACCTGATGGTAAGTGGTTACCGTAGCCTATGAACACCTGCAATACCAGAGGTATTATGCGTGCGTTACCGACCCTGAAGAAACCTCTTTACCCCCTTTTGAAGAACCCCATGCTGTAGTCTCTTGGGAAAACCACGGTAGGGAGCTCATTCCACAACCTGAGTATTATATTTATAAGGGATAAAAATGTTGAATAATAATTATTGTAATTATTGGTGCTCACGAAACAGCCATGAACAATGCTTATAAATAAAGGCTCTTATTAAATAAACTAGCTCCTATTAACTTAAAAGGTAAGTGAAATCAATATAAATAATTAAATAAAAAAGTTACATTACAAACATATAACAAATTAAAAATTCTATTTAACTTACTTATCATAAACATTGAGCAACAAATTGATCAACAAGTCTACAACTAAGTCCACATCCCCGCTGAAGAGACCCTCTTTCTCCGCTGCAAAGTATATATCAGCTAGTACTGCTTCCAACTCAGCTGTGTCTAAAGACAGGCTACTTTCTGACAAGCTAAGTTGGTGACGAGCAAATACTCCGGAACTGATACGCAGTGGTGGCACTAGTAACAAAATTTTTAATAAAAAAAAATATTTTACTTATCTATTAATTAAGTAGGAAAGTTTATGCAAAGCTCTAAGAAAGTGGGACCACTTAAAATTCTACTAAATAAGTTACTTTCAAAATATCTACAACAATAGGAAAATAAAGTTTTTAATATTTTATTTTCTCATCTATCACACACAAATAAGCTAAAACAGCCATAAAGTTTATGTTATTACAAATGCTAACCCTAATGGAATAAAATAGCAATAAACAAATTGAAATCTACATTTATAACATTCATAAAAATTTAATTTACACTTACCTAGTAAATACTTTTGCAAAGAAAATATTTTAAATGCAATCTTGTATGCACTATATTTAATACCATCGTATTCCGTGAGAGCCTCCATAATTTTCTGAAATTCAGGATGATCATATTGCCGGTTTCCACTTGTCTCGCTATAATATAAAAGTTAGAGTTATTTTAAAAATTAAAAGTTGAAAACATTAAAAGTAGGTTAAGGCGCAGCGAAAGCGAAAAGTACTTACTCAACATAACACGGGTAACCACCCTCGTTTTCAATCTTTTTCCAGTTATTGTTAGACATTTTGAATTAAGTCTATATACTCATTGTTGTGAAAAAAATTGTATTTATAAATGACTTAGGTATTTTACCTAAGTATTAAAAATATAAAGTTTTGTGTTGCAACCGCCATAACAAAATTATTTAAAAATATACATATGTCAAAATAAAAGTTATCAAATATATAATGTCAATGTCAGTCTGTTATTGACTACTATCTGTCACGTCACTCTCACCCTATCTGTAATTTACAAAGATTTAGAATAATTTACTTATTTATAAAAATAATGAGCATGTACTTTTTATGCATTCTGAAGTACAAATATATTACTTAAATCTAAGCTTAGGTAATATCGCTTTTTTGTAATATCAAATTGGCTGGTTATTAACTTGAATATCGGATACTGTTACTATACTGTATTTCGATATTTGATACAGCAAAAAAAAATATGTAGTGGGCAATAATTTTGGAATAGTAAAGGTTAATCCAACTTCTATTACATACACCTTTCATTTAATTTTAAATTGTATAACGTTATTTATAGCATACACTTATTAATTTCAATAACTTAAAAAATGATTATAAAAAAAATTACGTTAGTAAAGTAATACATAGCGTAATAAACAAAAATGAAATAATCATGAAAAGAGCATATTCCTTTTTAAAAGCACACCTGCAATGCCGTAGGTGTTGTGGGTGATCATGGGCGGCGGTAGTCACTTACCATCAGGTGAGCCGCTTGCTCGTTTGCCCCCTATGTTGTAAAAAAAAAAATGGCGTATTCCTTTTACTTAACCGTTTGCTAACATAATCTATTTATTTCTAAGTATTTATTCAATCAAATATTGAAATACATAGATAAATCGATACTTCGTATCTATTTCGCGCTCACAATTCATTTCAATCGAATCTGTTTTATATATTTGTAGATATCGTTATAGTTATAGCGGTACGAATTGCTTCATTCAATATCTATCGTGGCGTATCGGTTACGGAATCAATTCACACGTTTCAATGTATCGCGTTGACTGCAATTTTGAATGTTGGGCGATCCAATTTGCACTACTAGATCGCAATCGGCCGCAGCAAAAAGACAGTGTTGAAAATAGACGTTTTGCTTGTAGTAGAAACTATGGTGGACTTGCCTGGTATATATAGATTTATTATTTTTATCAATATACATAGGTATATTTCGGCTATATACAGTTTATAATCCACAAGCTTACTTAGATGTTTCGAAATATATACATTGCGAACTATAGTTGAAATATAAAACTAAAACACTTGAACTACATCTTTCAAAATACGATTTTACATAGATTGAAATATATATATATATATATATATATATATATATATATATATATATTTGCCATTTAATAATTAGTGTCTTAGAAGATAAAAGTCTTTACTGATATATTATTTATATCCTTGTAAGAAGCATGCTATACATAATTTCTAAATAGAAAAAAAAAATCTACATAAAACTTAAGGGCTTTTTGCCTTAGTTTTTATTTTTATTTTAATATTTACCTCGCGAAACTAATTAATCCATTCAATTATATTTCTGTGAATATTTCCTTTAAAGCACGTAACGATGGAATTTTATTAGTAATATACGGTATCTCGATTTTTTTATTTTTTGTTTATATGAATAAAACTTTTTATTATAAACATAATAATTGTCGTCACTGCCAATTCGGCCTTAAAGACTAAGAATATTTTAGTGTGTTTTTAAAATTATAAGTATTTTATACAAAATTTACATTTTTGTTTGTAATAATTTACTTCTATATAATCTACTCAATTAGTAAATATACTATTTGAATTTAATAAATCATTTGACTATCTTTTAATGCATAGAATGGAACACTCCGAAAAAAACATAAGCACGTTCTCACTATTAGGGATGAAAATATTCAAGCAATTAGCCAATCAGCGTCTTGAATAAGTTGTTCCAAACTTTTATTGACCAATCGTAGCAATTTAAGTCCGTATAATTTTTGCTACCATTTTCTCTTTGTAAAGGAGACGCCATTTTGCAAGCGTCACTTGGCGGCGTGTCGGGTTTCGGCATTTTAAACCGAAATACCTATAATCAAATATTGTTATTGTTTTGTTTTTGTGTAATATGTCGTATCAATCCAGTGTAGCGCAGGATACATTAGCTGCGGCACAATTGGAAATGGCCGGTAACCCCAACGCATTAGCCCTGCGTCGGCCATTCGACCCGGTGGCGCACGACTTGGAAGCTAGTTTTCGTTTGACACGATTTGCGGACTTAAAAGGAAGAAGCTGTAAAGTACCCCAAGATGTTCTGGGCAAATTGGTGGAGTCTCTACAGCAAGACTACTCACAACAAGAGCAGGATCAGTTCATGCATGTGGCGATACCACGCATTGGCATCGGTTTGGATTGCTCGGTGACGCCACTACGACACGGCGGACTTTGTTTGGTGCAAACTACTGACTTTTTCTACCCGTTGGTGGATGATCCCTACATGATGGGAAAAATCGCGTGTGCTAATGTTTTGAGCGATTTGTACGCTATGGGCGTAACTGAATGTGACAATATGTTAATGTTGTTGGGAGTATCAACAAAGATGACAGAGAAGGAACGAGATGTAGTTATACCCCTTATTATGCGAGGATTCAAGGATTCTGCATTAGAAGCTGGCACTTCTGTCACTGGTGGTCAAACAGTTATCAACCCCTGGTGTACTATTGGGGGGGTTGCTACTACAATTTGTCAACCAAATGAGTACATTGTACCCGACAACGCTGTGATGGGTGATGTGTTGGTGCTAACAAAACCTTTAGGCACCCAAGTAGCTGTTAATGCACATCAATGGCTGGATCAGCCAGAACGTTGGAACCGAATTAAATTAGTTGTATCTGAAGAAGATGTTCGCAAAGCTTATCACCGTGCTATGGACTCCATGAGTAGATTGAATCGTATTGCAGCTCGCCTTATGCACAAATACAATGCTCATGGCTCTACAGATGTTACTGGATTTGGTTTGCTAGGTCATGCACAGAACTTAGCGTCCCACCAAAAGAATGAAGTATCATTTGTAATCCACAACTTGCCCGTGATAGCTAAAATGGCAGCAGTGGCCAAAGCTTGTGGTAACATGTTCCAGTTGCTCCAAGGTCATGCTCCTGAGACCTCAGGCGGACTTCTAATCTGCTTGCCACGAGAACAGGCTGCAGCATACTGCAAAGATATTGAAAAGCAAGAAGGTTATCAGGCCTGGATCATTGGTATTGTAGAAAAAGGCAATCGCACAGCTCGCATCATCGACAAACCCCGAGTTATTGAAGTGCCCGCTAAAGATTAAGCGTCATGCATTCAGACATTTTAAAAGTTGAAGTTTTTTACATTATAATTTTAACTTGTAAGGAACTTAATGAATATTGCAGTTTCATTTTAAATGATCTATTATGTATAATTTGATGGTTCTCTGTTTTCTTATATGTATGTAATTAATTCCTTGTAGCTATATGCCATTTTTTTTTGTAACATAATGAATAGCCAGAGTATGTTCTGGTGGTAGATATAAGAAAGCTTTTAGAGAACTTGATCTAGTGACATTGGTGTTTATATTTGTAAGGCAACATTATTAATAAGATAAAAGAAATATTCCATTAGGTACACAACCTAACATTTGTTTGCAGCTTGAGAACTTTTCCTGCAAATTGTGAGAGTAAGGATTATTATTAGAATAAAGTTATTTTTCAGTCAAATTGTAGTTTCATTTCAGTTTCTTATCTGTTCCCATGTGTGCTGTACCATGTATGGAAATTAATTATTCATTTGCCTCACCTTAATACTTGTTTATATTATTTTAATATATTTTTATTCATATTTGTTTTTACAACCAACCTGACGTCAAACCTCCTCGTGAGGGGATGAAGAGATTGTTAGTAATGCAGCCTACCAGACCCATTGCTAGCAATTTTTTTTAATGGATAATTGAATGGTAACTCTGCTTTCGGTATACATTGACGGGGCACTAGTAAGGAGTGATTTATTATTATAGTATTGGTGAGGATGAAAAGGCAGGTCTGATCTCCCATTGCTAGCAATATATCTTATCAGGTCGACCTCCACGTGGTTTCACCTGGAAACCATCGTGCTGAATTCCAGATGTATTCATCACGATGGGCTAACTGACCCGCCTTTCATTCTCAGCGATCATCACTCACTGGTGCCCGACCAGCGTACACCGTTAGCTCTGACGGGGTTACCATTCCATTATCATCCATTAAAAAAAAGCCTTGAAAATATCTATATAACAACATCTGTTAATATTGGTCTTAGTGTATTCTATGTAGGTATTTATAAAAAAAAATTTAAATACCTACAATTGCTTAAAATCCCCAGTATAATATAAGCATGGACATAAGAAACCGAGACGTTCACGTTTATGTGGATACCATAGTCTTTCTCCAAGACAGGTGTTATGTCTCTCCCGTGTACTGTGATTTCATCGCCATATCGTCATAGTCGTAGAATACTGACGGATCTTTATATGTAATCTTTGTCAGATCCGTCAGTATTCTACGACTATGACGATATTATAATGTTTAGGTGACAGAACTGCGGCAGTGTAAATCCCTCTATCAACCCTAATGAGATCGAAAATTACATGGGTACATAGTGCTAAGCAAAATTATGTCCTAACTAGTTGAGCATGGGGGGAAATGGAGACTGAGAATCCCATTGCTAGCAATATGCCCAACCAGGTCGACTTCCTCGCGGTTCCCCCTGGAAACTATCATGGTTAATTCCTAAGGAATCCATCATGATGGGCTAACTGGCCTGTTTTCATTCTCATCTATCACCCTTCACTGGTGCTCCGCCAGCGTATCCCGTTAGCGCAGGCAGGATTACCATACCATTTTCACCCGTCAAAAAAAAAAACTAATTGAGCATACTAGTTCTTTAGTTTCAATGACTGCCCCTATTTAAAGTTGGTGATTTGAAGTGAATACTCCTTAGACAATTCGTATACCAATATGTCAATAGATACGTTTTCGTTAGCGCACGCATGAAAAGGAACAAGATATCGGACATTGCTGTCTTGTCTTATCGCACAATAGCGATAACGTATTTGTCGATAGGTTCAGTTGGCACTTGTCTTATGTACATTTCTTTTTGATTGGAAGGTAGTCTGAAAAGTAAAAGTTCATGATTATATAATTTAATATTTATTCACGAGATTAATTCGAAGCTTATAATATAGTGGATAAAAGAAAATAATCACTATCTTCATAATAGTCTACTGGATTCTATGAGAAATAATCTACTAAAGGCATAGAGTAATTGTGAAAGTGGAAGTGGTGTATAACGTTTGCAGTACAATCTCAACGTAACATTTTTATAAGTTATAAAATAAATTAATAATATAATGGTAGTTTCATATTTTTCAAATTATTATTAAACATTAGAAATGTTTACTTGCTGGTTACACAAAGACGAATGCGCGGAACGATTACGTTCAGATAACATGCCTATTGATGTAAATTTCTATTTAAAAATGTAGATGCGCTAAGATTCGACAATTAATATATGACTGAGATTATTATTGTGCCTATTATTTATTGCAATGATCAACGCTAGGATTATATACCGCCTCCATCTACTTAACCCACCACTCAATGACGTCAAAACCAGTTATCTATAAGCTGTAGTATAGGAAATGACTCTACGAATCTGACAAAATGACTGTAATAGGCTCAAGAATGGACCATGATGATGGAAGCTAAAAAATAGGCTGTTGTGAAGACTGTAAACACTTAAATTACTGAACACATTCTTAATTTTCTGATAAATATGCATTATCTTTATACTATCAGGTGCTTTTGTGACAAAAGATTCAAAGTTCTAAAATTATAACTCTTTTTTTACCATCGAGAAGGTGCAATCCGAAATCCAGCGATGGAATCATAAAACTCAATCACTTTCTATAAGAAGCATAATTCAAAGTGCAAAAAAAAATTGCGTCATACATGCAAACTACAGGATAATGTGACCAAGTACATCAATTTAGCTTTAATAATTGATAAATTAAATTCATATTTTGGTCTATGTTCCTTAGAGAAAGTCATTGTTTTTATCACTGTTTTTAGACTAATATTCAGTATTCACCTAGTTTACTCACTAAAAACTTAAAAATAACATGGAATGGACAAATTTAATGTTTTATTTAACTCATTGCAACGTAACAAAATGTTACAGATTACAGTTTAAGTAATTTACAAAATTTTATTATGTCAAAAAAGATTCAATTTTAAGTAATGGCACTCATATCCCAAAATTCGTGGAACCAGTGTGTCTCGAGAATCAATGTACAATTCGATCTAAAAATAATGGATACAAATGTTAATACAAAAACACCATACACATTACAGAGTCTATAACTGAAGCACAAACTAACTGATGATGCTTGACAGTGTTTTCAGTTCAGCGGCGAGTTCAGACAGGGCCTCTTGCGTGGTCGGTTATCGTCACCATTTTGTTCAATATGGCTCTGGTCACGCTTTTTCGGTGAATTATTATTCTGAAAATTTGTAAGGTGTAAATTTTAAAATATATAGTATAAAAAGTTGCAAAAATCAAACTGAATATATATCCATCTATCTTTATGTCAAGTTACTTGCGGGTAGGCAGGAAGAATTCAATCATAAAGATCTAAAATGTCACATACAAAATTCGTTTTATGCACTTTCAGAACTTATTTCATGCATATAATCGTTTTATGCACTTTCAGAACTTATCTCATGCATATACATAGGTTCAGAGGACTCAGAATTCCTTCCTCAGTATTTACTGTTATAGGCAGTGGATGTGAGTACAGAAAAAGATAATAACAGTAAATATTTCTTTTTATAATAAGTTTCTATAGTTGTAATCAGAATCTAAAAGTAAAACAATGTAATTAATAATTCAAATAATGATTTTGTAAAATTTGTATATGAATCTCCTGTAAAAACTATATCCATGTACCAAAAATTACAAACATTAATAATTTGACAAGATTTTATATATTTAAGATGTATTTTATTTTGTGGATTGGTTTTCTTTATTGTCATGATATTATGAATTTTTTAACAAACAAATTTAATAGAAATATCTAATTATTTTAAACAAATTTGCAAAATAAAATACTCCAGATTATACAATATTAACTTAATTGAAAAATACCAGGCTATAAAATGTATGCATAATGCATTTGATACAAGTTTTTAATTAATTTTAATTGCAATAATGAAATTTGATAATTTTATAAAGCTTTAAATAGGCATTATACTAATGTACAATATTGAACTGGAATGCTACCATTATAATAATGTGTAAGTATGTAAAGATGTTTGTATGTTTATTACTCAATTACACTTAAATTTACAGAGGTTGTATCCTAATTTAACACATAAATAATAAATTAATGACAATTACCTTTTTCTCCCATTGTTGATGGAGATATCTTAACAATATATTTGTTTTCTCTGTTACAATAACTAGAACAAATAAATACATTTAAAAACAGAATAAACTGTAATAAAACACAATATTTTTTTTTTTTATATAACTTACAATGGCAAACAAGCTAACGGCCCACCTGATAGAAAGTGGTAACCGTCGCCTATAGACATGAGCAGTACCATGGACATAACAGAGTATACTGTTTCACCCCATGCGTTGCCATTCCTGAGGACTCAGGTGTTATTTCTCTGTACCCAGTAAATTCACACCAAATTTATTAATGAGAGAAAGAGAGACTGAAAGAGAGAAACTGTTTAAGGTGGAGATAATTCGATTTTTATTACAGACTAGTAAGATTTATTTTTTTATTACAATTATATAGCTATTAACAGAATCTATTTATTTATGCTTTACATATCAAAAAAATATTTGATTTCATTAATACAGTGAAGACTCTATATAAGCAACATTCTTTATATGTAACCTCTATACAAGCAACTTTTTTTAGTTCAACTGTTCTGTATATGCAACTTATATCTTTAAAAACTAAATATTTAAGTTTATCCCAATTCAGAAGTAAAATCAGCTGTTCACAACAACATAACCTCAAAATATAAAAAATTCAGTTACTGGAATATGTTTGTGTTTTGTGCTGCCAATATTGAAGTTAAATTTCTGTTAAATAAAATAGTTACTTCAATTCTAATTAATATTTTGTGCTTTAAATTCAACCATAAAATATTACTCCTATTGAAGAAAATGATAAACATCAGATGAGTCCAATAAAAACATCATGTTATAATTTTTTTTTAATTTGGTGATAGAAGGGGCAAAAAATATTACTTAGCCTGCAATGAGGTTCTTTTGTTACAAGAAATAAGAGAAAAAGCTATTATGAATAAATATATGCAATTGTTTTTGTTTGTTTTGGCAATTAGTGCTATACTAAATCAAAGATTTATTAAAATTTGATTGTTTATTTTTTATATAATTAATAACTACACTTATATGATAATAATAATGTTTTCATTTGCAAAATAAAACTGAATTTCTTTATTCTACACAGCTTAGTTAGTAAAAGAAATAAGTAAAAATATTTTCCACATGGTAAGTATTGTTATACTCCTTTTTCCCCTATAAGCAACTTTTCCCAATAAGAAACTTTTTTGTACTTATAACTTATATAGTATTCAGTGTACCAACATAGATGTGATAAAGACAATATGTATATGAAATTACATCCAAATTTATGTTAACAATGTTTTAAAGATATTTTTAACCTATTGTAACTTGCTGCACCCTATGGAGTCCATAATGGTTATTATGGATAAATACATTACATTATGGAATGTAAATAAACAAAAATATTAGAACACAGTTATAATAGTGGGAGATGAAAAGAATAACATATAAACTAGATATGAACTACATCATACTAAAGTAATAAAGCATATTATTATAAGTGATTGAACAATGAAAGTTCTAGATCATAAAAACATATACTCAACTTTGTTCAGAAGGTATGTCCTTAGTGGGTAGATATATCGAAGGCCGTTTGGAACAATTTCTAATGCCATGATCCGTGTTAAATAATGTAAAGTTGTGCTCGTCATACGATGGTAAATCTTTTAGAAACTCTATCACCGACTGTGGAATGAAATAATAAAGTAATTGTAAAAATTCAAGGACCAAGCATGGTGCGTAAAACTCAAAATCGTACTATAGAACAAAAGGTACTAATAATACTTGCCATTGTGGTACTATAGTGATATGGTTAGGATACGTGTTCAAGATTTCAATGGTCTCAAACAAACAATAAAGACAAAATAATCCAAAAGTATAAATTCTCCGACAGACTACAACAGGAGCCAGATGGGAATGACAGTAAAAGATAATGTTGCTATTCTTACAAAATTATTACTAAAATAATATTGCCAACAAAAAGAATGGAACCAATTAATGAAAGCTATAATCAGATGGCGCCATCATTCTATGATTTATTCTCACTAATGTTGCCCAATTATAATTCCAATAAACACTTTTATTTAATAAAATAAATAAACTATTCTTTTTTATTACTTTTAATTTATTTATCAAATTTATACAACTGTCATCACATATTTTTTCCAACCAAATGTAAATAGAATAGATCTTCTTTAACAAAGCCACAAAAAAAAACTTGCAACTTCGGAGGGAAATTCAAATTTCGAATAAGTTTTTAAAAATAAAGAAGAATGTATCTACCTACCTTGATAATATTTATTATCTATCTACTTAGTACTTTACTATGGTAGTAGTTTCCTATAGAAAAATGATATCGTAAGTTAGCAAACAGTAATAAACAAAAAGAAATATGTATTCGAAATCAACATAATTTGTGCTTCATTATGTATGGTATATTAAACTCAAGTTTTAATCGAACTTATAACCCTAGTGGAAAACAAAATGCTTTAGCCGACATAAAGAGATTGCTGTCGTCTCGTGATGCAATAGCACAAAATAAAGCTTGTGGCTATCTCAGTGAAGTAATAGGCCGATACAACAATAATTCCATTGAGCAAAATCGTATGGTGGAATATCTATTAGAAAATGATATCACAGTCTTTCTATGTGAAGCTACTTCTAATTTGGATTTTACACTTTTTCGGTAGGTACTTAGGTACTTCTGTGTCAAAGCTGAAAGTCGGATAATCTAATATATAAAATTCACGAGTCGGGATGTTTGTTACCAAACTCCTCCGAAACGGCTTTACCGATTTTTTTATATTTTGTGTGCATATCGGGTAGATCTGAGAATTGGCCAACATCTATTTTTCATACCTCAATGATAATGGTGATCTACACCAAAATTTTTTTTTTATTTTTTTTGACAAATTTTTTTATTTTTATTTTATTAATATTATGATTAAGCATTGAAAAATACATACAAATTCAAATTTTCACGCTTTTAAGATCAATCCCTGTTTTTTAATCGTGATTTTTATATACCGCAATATGGTTGCATGACGGCAATCGTATATAATAATTGTAGTAAGATACATTTTCATGTATAGTTCTCGAAATGATGTATATGGTAAAACAACGTTTGCCGAGTCAGCTAATTATTATATATATATATTAAATATATTGTAATGAAAATATCAGGTTGTATTTCTTGACGAAAATATATGTAACTAGTCTTATACATACATCAGATTTACCTATTTCTGCCGCAAGCAGTATTGTATATTTATTATATTATATTTTTTCTCGGCTTAAAGGGCAATAATATTAAGAAAATTAATAAATATAGTACAATAATTGAAATAAGAGGCATGTCTAGCAGCATCATTCAAAATGGCTACGCAATAACTCAGATACTTATGGTACGCAGATAGGTATCGTTGCATTGTTCTTATATACAATAGGTAAGCACATATTTGCGGATCCTTGAAGTAAGAACAACTCTTTCCATTGTTCATCATTACTGTTCTATCATTTTATCACCCGGTAAAATAAAAGGAACAATTTATTACTTACTAAGTGGATCTCCCGGCTTTACTTGCATGAATCATTATTATATTAAATTTCCTTCAAATCTATTCGGAAGTTTTTGCGTAAAAGAATACCAAACATCCATTCTTCCTCACATACTTTTGCATTTATATTAGTAAGAAAAACTAATGCAAACTGTGCATCTAGTCCTTTAGTAAAAAATATATGTAAATGATCAAAAATTTTACAGCCGACCTGATAGAAAATGATAAGCATTACTTATAGACATAAACAGCACCACGGCATATATGTAAATATAAATATTCATCCATCTATCATTTCAAACTGCCACATTTATTATATTAAATAGGATTATTTGATTTTTTGTCATCAGCTCAATTTTATCATGTTTGCGCCTATTATGGCGGGAACGACGGTTCTTCGCAGACGAGCATGCTGCTCATGCTTGCACAGCGGTGTTGAGAGCACTAGCGCATTACTCCGGGAGTTGTTCCAGCGTTGCCATGAACGAATGTCTCCATTTTCTCTGTGATTTATTTAATGGGTAAGCATCTAAAATATCTAAAGGACAAAAGCAAATACACACATACATATCTGTCACGCCCGTCTCCCATTGGGGTAGGGAGAAGTAATGGAATGTCAAATGCATACAGAAAAATATCTGTTTAGTTGACTTCCACACGGTCCCTTTTGAAAACTGACATCGTTAATCCCTGAACACATTCCTCACGATATCTCGACTGACCTTAATTTATCCCTATTTATCATTCCACACCGGTGATAGCTATACTAATAGAATAGAGCAGGCGATATTCCCTTCTCGACCAATCCATTGGGAAGCCGCTGAGCATTTTTGTTAAAACACTTTTTCCTTAGAAACATACGAAAACATTGATAATTTTTTTTATACAACTTAGAATGGCAAACAAGCTGACAGCCCACCTGATGGAAAGTGGTAACCGTCGCCTATAGACATGAGCAGTACCATGGACTTAACAGAGTATACTGTTTCGCCCATGATACCTCCCATGCGTTGCCATTCCTGAGGACTCAGGTGTTATTTTAAAATAGCAGTCCGCTATACTTTTTCAATAGGTAGGCTAAATAAATTAGTTTTACTTAATTAAAATTCATCTACAACGTTTTATAAATATTTGCTTCGATCTGAGGATGAGAATGATGTATGCATTATATTGTTCTTGCCGCGACTTCTTTACGCATGTTGTCCCCTTATAAGTTGAAATTTTCCATAATCCTTTCTTAGCGTAAACCTATCTTCCAAATATTTGCTTTCTAGACTTTTTGTTCCTAGTTTTGGCCGTATATTGATAGTCAAAGAAGACAAATGATTTTATAAGTATAGATTAAAAAAATATTGATTGTAAGCTGTTGTGTATACCAAATAAAATAAAAAAATAAACCATTCAATATTTTTGTATTTCAATGCCAAGTATTAAGCCTGACTTTGCATCACATTAAATTGAAATAAAAACAATAAATAATGAAATAAATATGCACAAAGTCTTCTTTTGTTTTATTTTCCAGAATTAACGTTCATGGGACCACTTCACCTCTATCCCATCAAAGCGCGTACAGCACTGAACAACTTTTAGCTTGCTTCAACGGTTTAGCCTCGCAAATAAGTAACAACTCGAAAGCTGTACTATCCAGCGTTCTAGTGCTGCGTGCTCTGGTGTCTTATCAACCAGATACACTTGCTATCAGAGGCCATATAGCTAGTTCGTTAGTGGAAGTGTTGGAAAAGTGGTTAACTTTATTATTAGGGGAGCTCAACCATTCAGTGCTGTTGGGAAGTGATGACACGGGAATGTTTTTTGTCGTGGCGTGCCAATTGGGCCTGGATATTTTGAGGTATTGATAAAACTTATATTTAACTAGCTTTTTCCCGCGTCGAACATCACATCAAACAGAACATTCTCTATTAATTATTGTCCGGGGTATGTTAATTTACTGGGAGACTTTGTACAAAAGTCGATCGCTTGGGTGCCTCTGTCCCATTCGTGTTTCTACCGTGAAGCAGTTGTGTTTGCATAGCTGTGTTTCGGTTTGAAGGGTGGGATATGGCGTGAATTTACAGGGTACAGAGGAATAACACCTGAGTACTCACGAATAGCAACGCATTGGGGGGTATCATGGGCGAAACATTATGTGTGTATACTGTTATGTCCATGGTACTGCTCATGTCTATAGGCGACGGTTACCACTTTTCATCAGGTGGGCCGTCAGCTTGTTTGCCATTCTAAGTTGTATAAAATAAAATAGTAGCCTATATTCCTCTCCATCCCTAATATAAAATTTATGAAGTTAGTTCTTTAAATGAATTACCATTTAAAGAAAACGTCAACAAATGGTAATATAATCTTTACTGATATTATAAATATGAAAGTGAGTTAGCCAACCGTCATAAAATTTTATTGTTAAAGGTTTCGTAAGCACACATTATATTTTAATGTAATAACTACCGGTTTAGCTTACGTGTAATTAGATTGAAAAAACTCCACTAGTTTCGGCATCAAAACGCGATCCTTAATCATGAGCGGCTGTGACGCGAACAACAGCCTGACGGACTCGGAAGGTAAGTTAAACCGGTAGTCATTAAATTTGTATACACATAATATATACTAGTTGACGCCCGTGACTTTGTCCGCGTGGTATTTGTTATTCCTGTTTAGTATGTATCGATGTATGTACCTACCTATTTATTATGTCTGGGAGTATGTACTGGACCAAAATTGACAAGTGACGTCTCGTTCTCACTCTTTGCCTTAGGTCAAAATGACTTTACTTAAGTAGGTTGTGTACTAAGCTGTATAAGTTACTACAGTGATTTAACTATCCTACGGGAACTCTTAATTTTCGGTGATTAAAAGTATCTAGAATATTAACCGGGGATGTAAGGTATCACCATGCAAAATTTCATTTAAATCAATCCAACGGTTTCGGAGATTTGCCAGTACGAACAGACAGACACACGAAAAATTAAAAATCTCGATTTGTTCTATTTCATTTCTAATATTCCCCTGACTCGGATTTTAGCGTTTCTTTTTTCTATGTACAAACATTAGACCTCTATAATTTTATTATATATATAGATTTGGAATAGAGTTGAATCAATAGTGAATCTTTTAAATGCTACTAAGCTTTTTCCCGCGACTTCGTCCGCGTGTCGACATATATTGTTTGACTGAAATAATTAGAAGCCTATATCCTTCCCCGTTTCATATACTATACCTATGCATACCAAATTTCATGACAATTGGTTAAAGCACTAAGAGGTAATAATAATACAAACACATTTTCACATTTATATTTTTAGTAAAGATTCATATTATTGCAATTTTTTTCTATATTTATAAATGACTCTACGATATGTAGAATACCCTAATAGATTTAATATTGGTCTTATTCAATCTATATTAGCTAAACCCAGAACTTTACCAAAGGGAGACTTTGTATAAAAGTTGTTTGCTTGGGCACCTCTGTCCTTTTCGAGTTTCTACCGTGAAGCAGTTCTATTTGCATAGCTGTGTTTCGGTTTGAAGGGTGGGATATGGTAGTAAATTTACAGGGTACAGAGGAATAATACCTGAGTCCTCAGGAATGGCAACGCATGGGGGCTATCATGGGTGAAACAGTATACTCTATGTCCATGGTACTGTTCGTGTCTATAGGCGACAGTTACTACTTTTCATCAGATGGCCAGCTTGTTTGCCATTCTAAGTTGCATAAAAAACCCAAATCAGAAAATTTTGAACATTCTCTGTTAATTATTGATACCCATTAGTTCCTATTTTTCCGTGATTAGGGAAAATGGATGAAACTTTATATGAGAAATCAATTTAGGGTACGATAGAGCTCATATACTTGAAGGTAAAAGCCATTAAACTAAAAAAAAATTAAATTACCCTTAATTCAATTTCTTTTTTAAATTTAATATTCTGTTTATTGAAATTTTTATATTGACCTTATTATATATTCCTATAGACTTGTAAAATGTTTACACGGCAATAGAAATAAAGCTGACTTCATAGAGGCGATACTAGCTGACGAGCAAGAAGAAAATGTACTGAAACAATGCGTTTGCCAAATGAAAAGATCAATTCGGAACGTTATTTTAGAGCTAGTTACGTTCACAAAGGTAAATTGAAACACCGTCCTTATTTTAACGTAATAATTACCGGTTTAACTTACATGTAATTAGATCGAAAAAGCTCGACTAGTTTCGGAATCAATTCGTGATCCTTAGTCATGTGCGACTGTGATGCGGCACGAGCCTGACTCTATGATTATTAATATTATATATGTAAAAGTAAGTTTGTTTGTTACCTCACGGTTCTTTAACGGCTGAACAATTCGTCATAAAATTTGATATACACGTATTCTATTAATACATCTAGTAGTTTATAATAGTTTGGACTGAGGATAGTTCTTATAGCTATTTATGAAAAGGGATGTTAAATAAAGGACAATTAAGTTAAGAAATTATGATGACATAAATTACATGCTTTTACCCCCGACTCCGCCCGTGTGACCGGGATATATTTACTGACTGGGATAAAAAGTACCTTATAACCTACATCATCCGATACAGTATGTCTATACCAAATTTCATAGTGGATAAACCGTTAAGGCACTATAAGGTAACAAACAAATTCACTTTTCAACAGATTCCAAAACAATAGAAGGTTACCAATTCCTTTTTTTTATATTTGTTGCTACATAACTGCGTCATATATAATCTGATTTGAAAAACACTTCTTTTATCCGAAAAGATACACTTTTAGATTAGTCTTATTGAACTTTTATCAAAATTAGTTTAGTAGTTTAGTTTGTAAAACAAAGTAATTGGTTTGGCCTCGATTGAAGACGGTGTTCTCTTTTTGTGTACTTAACAAAACCTACTTATATTATAATAATATTAGTAAAAATTACTTGTTATAGTCAGAAATAATTAAGAATAAAAAACAATCGCAATAAAAAATCAAGTAATATTACAATTGTCGATTTGAATTCAAAGCACGGCAACTACTACAAAGATAAGTAAAAAAGTTAAGTATGTATGTATAAAAATTGCAGGAAAATGAAAAACTTATATCCACTGACGAATATAGTGTATTTCTAAAGTTCCTACTCAATTTCTTTTATGATAATTCTAAATGTGAGGAGCTGACGGATTTCTGTGACATTTTGTTCGCTAAAGGATATTTGGTTTTGTTACCGCAAGTTCAAATCATAAGGTAAGTGCACTTATAAAATTTAACTAAAATCGTATATTTATATATTTAAATGCACATTGAAACATTTGTTTTTCACTTGACATATTTTCCTAAAATGGCCTTTATATATATTTTTACACGAGAAACACTTTAATTTGCGAGGACAATTGTAAGTATTCATATGGACACCACCACACGCATCACGAAGATGTTGTATATTACTACTTTATATGTACTTTATAGGTACATATTGAAACATTGTTTTAGTAATAAACGTTGCTACTTTCAACCGAATTCAAAAAGAAACTGTTTCTCTATGCGATTGTATTTTTTTTATGTTTGCTACCTCATAACTTCGTCACTTGTAAACCGATTTGGAAAATTATTTTTTATCTGAAAGGATATACTTACAAATTGGTTCCATAGAAATTATATATATATTTTTATAATTTAATTTAATATAATGTAAAAACTAATGCGTCAGGGGTTTCTTCTCTAGAAATCTGTTCAATTCTAGAATAAGGGCATACGGGTATGCGACCCCGGCCTCTCAGCCGCTGCAGTGTCCCAGTCCTTTCCGCAACTGCAGTGTCCCCCTTTCTTTTCCCACATAAGTATCTTGTTCTTCTCATTCACCAATTTCCTGTACACATTTCCAACGTTCCCTTCCTTTTTTCCTCAATCCTTTCCTCCATACTGCAGGTGGCAAGGACCACCAACAAATGCATTCCCAAAGAGGATTGACGTCAGGCAGGTGGCCGGTAAAACTAAAAACCAAATCTTTTTGTAATGTGGGTAAAAGTATTTTATGCCGACCCCAAATAAAATGGTAGGGAGGTAGGGAGATTATGATAATGTAAAGACTAAATACAGTTGAATATTTGCATAGCACTACGGGTTGCTGCATGATATGCCCCTACTTTTATATGTAACATCTTATTTTACTATATAGCAAGCAAATAAATATGATTTATTTGATTGTATCAAAATCGATTCAGAAGTTTAGTTTTTTACATCAAAATAACTGGTTTTGCCAAATTTACTTCGGTTTTTGTGAAAAACGAAACATCTTAATAAATTTAATTATTAATAAGACAAAAAAAAAATATATTATTAGTAAAATAAAAAAATCTGTTACAGAAATGATACAACAGTACGCAAATTGAGCACTCTGCTCTTAGGAGAAATGTTGAAAGTATTGTCTGATAAATACCTAAACGTGGACGAGCGTGGTGACGAGGCTTGCTCAACAGTGATACATGTAAGCGAATATAATATTACCTTTTTTATCCTTTCAACTGTGTCATGCAAAATGGTGGCAAATCCACATCTGTGGCCTCCAGTGAGCGGTATCGAACCCTTAAGTCTTAGGATAAATTTTGCCTCACTCTACTCAATTATTCAATATGATGCCCACGGCCACTTTCTATCATCGTACGGCTCGCTATCGACAGGAAGTTCACCCTCATACCCTACAGTCTAAATGGTCGCGTACAACGCGGTTTCAGAGATGTTTTCTCCCACGAATACTCAGGTTATGGAATGAACTCACTGCCGAGGTTTTCCCAAGAGACTACAGCGTGGAGTTCTTCAAAAGGGGGGTAAAGAGGTTTCTTTAGGGTCGGCAACGCGCGCGTAATACCTCTGGTATTGCAGGTGTTCGTAGGCTATGGTAACCACTTACTATCAGATGGGCCGTATGCTTGTTTGCCACCTCAGTGGTATAAAAAAAAAAACCTTTTGCACCATATTTTATTTTGGTCGATAAAGTTATTTAAAAAAATAAATGTTAATAACCATAAACTATGTCATCATAACAAAGCAGAATTATCAATACTTTACTGTCTTACACCTACATTATTTATTCCGTACGTACTATTATTCATTTATAACTTAATCCCACGTTGTTATATAAGTAGTCTACAGTCGTTACGTACATATGTATTGTTTTTAAACCAACAAATATAGGTAGCTAGGTAAATTTTACGTAACATATACTACCTAGAAATGTTTACATATTATTTTTAAAGCGACTTTAATAACAAGGAAGTCCTAAATTCGGTCATATTTTTTGTATTTATTATAAACAATTTTGAACCGATTTTGATCTTTCTTTTTTGCAATTTCTTACACTTTACTCCCATTTTGACATAATGGTCTAACCATATTACTAAAGAAGCAGCTTCTTTACAGAGTAGAATTAGAAGTAGATAATTTTAATTATTATTATTAAGTAAATCGATGTTACTAATTTTTTTTTATTTCAGACAGGCTTAATAGAGTTACAATACGGAATAGAAAAGCCGCAAGATATCGGCTCCCATTTACAAAAATCTCAACCATACAGCCTCCTCATTTACATTTATTTCTACTGTCAATCATCAGAGAAGTATTTGTTTTTATTGAATTTATCTTGTTTCTTTTTTCTTTTTTTTTATGCTTTTCTTTTTTAATTTATAAAAATAGAACGTCGAAATACGGTTATGAAATGAGGCATCGGTGAAGGTGAAGTCAGGCCTATTAAGCCTGTGGAATGAACCTCAATATGGCGTGAATTTACTGGGTACAGAGGAATAACACCTGAGTCCTCAGGAATGGCAACGCATGGGTATCATGGGCGAAACAGTATATTCTGTTATGTCTATGGTACTGCTCATGTCTATAGGCGACGGTTACCACTTTCCATCAGGTGGGCCGTCAGCTTGTTTGCCATTCTAAGTTGTATAAAAAAAAACAATACTTTAGGGAGGGGGGGGGGGTCGTGAAAAGATCGACCTGCAAGGTATATTAGCCCAATGATTCTATTAGTAACACTATTCTACTCCCCACTAATATTAATGAAAAGTAAAGTTTTTATGAGAAGGTTTTTCTATGAATTATGAAAATTATGAAAATTTATATGTATGTATATATATTTATGTATATGTGTTGTATGTATATTTATGAAAAGTAATACATATAAATATTTATGTTTGAGTAACCGCAAATAATTGTATAATTAAGGTAACGTAGTAAATTGTGGATGACAGTGTCGGTTTTATAATAATTAAGATGTAGCCTTGGTCCTGGCCTAGAATAAGCCATCCCTTCCTTTTCCGTAGGTGTCGTAAGAGGCGACTAAGGGAGCTTACGGTGGAGGGATGGGCAACAGCGTCCCTCTTAAAACATCACCAAAGCCAAACTGCGGTTGCCAATTCGTCTGCTAAACGTGGCAACTATTGGCAAAACCCCCATGGGGGAGGCTATGTTCAGCAGTGGACAGTTTACCGCTGATACAACAATAACAATTATATGTATATTGTTTATAAATTATGTATTTCAGTATGTTAATATAATATATATACCTATACATATTTTTCACCACATCTGCCTTCATACGCTTTCTGTTTTAACCTAATGGTTAGCTGATAGAGAATGCCATATGGCATTAAGATCGTCATTTGTACAAAGTTTTATTGTGCAATGAAGAATAAATAAATAAAAATTGTTTTTTTTTTTTTAATTTTCCAGCCCCGAGGAGGCGACTGCACCATTATTGCCGTATTTGGTGGAACATATACTGCGTCTACCGCGCTCGTTCACACCACCCGCCTACATTATAAAAGCTCTATGGCTCGTCTTCGCTGTAATATTTTAATTTGATATTTTTTTTAAGGATTTTATATAGTTGTCTTGAAAATTGTATGTATACTTTAAAAAAAATCAGAGGGAGAATTTGTACAAAAGTTGTTCGCATGGATATTTTTGTATTTGTACATTTACTGTATATAGCAAATTTAATTTAAAAATTCTATTCAAATATGCTTAAATCTAAGTTTACTTGAAAAAAATTTTTTTTTTGTTCTTTCCATTGGTTTCAAGGGTTATGTTTGTTTCTTTATTATGATATTTTATTCTTATTACCTATAGTCTAAGTGCAAGTAAATGTTGTAGATTATTGAAATACATTTTCATTCATTCATAATATATATATATATATATATTTCATAGATGTCATCAATATCGAACGGTTCCCTGGACTCGCTGGACCAGAGAGTGTACTTGGAGAAAGCGACCAATCGTCTAGTGGCCATGTTACATCCGGAACCTTCAGTGTACTACACACACAATCCAGCCATCTTACTATGGGCATTCACGTCACAACGAATCCCTAATTATGTTCGATTACACGTTGTGAGTATATTTTAAATTAACACATAGACATTAGGTTCTGTCAGCCTACTCCACAAGAAAGTAGGCGTGAAGGTAGAACATATGTAAATAAAAATTGGGACTTTTAAAGTAAAGGCGTCCTTCTTAAGCCGTGGGGGTGCAGACCATTCCATTTGGTAAGGCGTATGGGCTTAATTTTAAAATTTCAATTAGGTAAAATTTTTTATTTATATCTTTTCCCAACCAGGAGTCGTGACCCTTGAAGGAGGGAGGGACGTTTGTAATTAAAGGGGGTCGCAGTCCGTTAAAAAATTATAAGGCCTCGAAAGATTTGTTTAACGTAATGATGCGCGACTTACATACACCTGTAACATATATATAAAAATTATATAATATTTTTCATACTTTATTTCGTATTATCGGTAATATATGTAGTGTTATGCAGTTATGACCATATTTATTTATTTTTATCATTTATATATTCTCAGTTGTCACAATGGCTACAAATTGAGGACTCGTTGCCAAGTGAATTAACAAATGAGCCCACCGTTTGGGAGATACTTCTTAACATTCTCGTACAATGCAAGAACAGAACTATACTTGGAAACTGTATCGAGACATTAAGATTATGTTTAGAAGACAGCGAGGAGGACGCGCGGCAAAACTTCGCGTCATTAGTGTGGTCGATGTTGCCAGATGTGTTGGCACGAAAACTTATTGATTATAACAACGAAATGGGTTTGTTTTAAATTAGTTTTTAACTTACAATTATTTTAAATGTCTAAGTTAATTCCTCCTAGATAGCAAATCATCGTCTTCGATTCTAATAGTAATGAATAATGCCTTTGATTACCCTATTAGGAATTATTTCATTCATTCATATCAACCATTTACTGTCCACTGCTGAACATAAGCCTTACCCATAAAGGGGGGCGTGGGGGGGTTGCTCTTAGTTGTCACGTTTGGCAAGTGGGTTGGCAACCAAAGTTAGGCTTTGGTTATATTTTAAGAGGGACGCTACTGCCCATTAAATTTAACTTAATGGTCGAGGGGTCTCCTTTAGTCGCCTTTTACGGCAGCCACAGGACAGCTGTGGCCAATATGATGCAGTAGTTTTTGCATGATACTGACACAAACATACAGACAGATAAACACAATAATTTAAAAATTTATTGCTTTACCTTTTGTTGCTCTTGTTAAGACCATTCACATAAATTTTCTCTCTAATATTGTACGATTATGGTGGTAAACAAGCGTACGGCCCGTCTGATGCAAAGAGGGGTTACCATACCCTATAACATCAGAGATGTCACACGCGCGTTGCTGATTCTTAAGGAACCTTAATACACTCTTTTTGAAGTACCTCATGCTATAGTATTTAGGTATAGTCGTGAACTTATTATGTTACAGATTTGAATATATGCAATTTATTGGATTTGGCGAGTACCCTAATACCTCTTGAGGTAGACCAGACGTTGTGTCTCAAAATAGCAGTGCTGTTAACTACTATATTTTCCAAAACCTTCGATTCCAACGAAATCGAATCTAGACACCAGTACGAATATGTGTGCTTGAAACTCTGCTTGTACTTACTGGGTTTGGCAAGCAATCAGAACGATAACAGAGGTAAAAAGCCACAATTACACCAAGCACCTAGTCCTCAAGCTACCCTGTATTGTAAACCAAGCAACAAACATCTGGAGGTATAATCCAGAACACCCAAATTCAAACCAATTTAGAAAAGTTGATTTCCTAAATTGGCCCAACCAAGAGTCTCGAACCAAGGAGAGGGATTGTTAGTAATTTACACACACACACGCACGCACGCACGCATTCACCTACGCATGTACATATACATGCACACACTCACGCATGTACGCACTCACAGATGCATGCACGCGCGCAAGCAAGCACACACGTACACACACAAAAACACACACACACACACACGCACAAACGTGCGCCCGCGCGCGTTTGCTGGTATGAACTCCGCTTATTCATTAGTAATTCGATTTTTTCTCCTTCTCATACCAATTTTTTTCTTGTTTGCATTTCAAACTTACCCCTACGGTCATTGCTGATAGTCAGTATTTTACCCTTTCGAGTAAAATTATGCATTGAAATTTGTTTTTTTTTTTTTTGCATTTCTGAGGCACACATACGCAGGCTTATTTATAAGCTATATTTTATGTTCCAAAATTACTGTTTATTGTACACTGTCTGTAAACTATAATTTAATGCTAATATTTTTTTTATCTATTTAATGCAGAGTTTAGTCTCTATTGCTAATAAAATATCTTGTCAGGTCGACCTCCACGCGATTCTCCCTATAAATTATCGTGGTTAATTTCTGATGAATTCGTCACATTGAGCTAATTGACCTGCTTTCATCCTCACCTATCATCTCTCTCGAGTACCCTGCTAATATATACCGTTAGCGCAAACGAGGTAACCATTTCATTATCATTCATAAAAAAATTTGGTAATCATACCTGAGTTCTCATTACGCAAAATGCCTCCGTGACGCAGTTCTGTGCATGTTGCTTTGCATTTTCTTTTGCAAATGTAGTCCCGTGTTTGATTCCTGATCGGGCCAATTTATAAAATAAACTTTTCTTAATTGACTAGGGTCTCGGTGTGCTAGATTATGCTTCCAGCTATTCATTGACTAGTTTTCCTAAATACAAAATATCCTATAGCTTGAAAGGCTAGGCGATTGGTTTAATTGTGTAACACTTATTCTTCATTATATCAGCTTTTAACTGTCCACTGCTGAACATAAGCATCCCCCTAGTGGGGTTTTGCCAGTAGTTGCCACGCTTGGCATATTATATATTGGCGTATTGAAAACTGCAATTAGGCTTTGGAGATGTTTTAAGAGGGACGCTGCTACCCATCCTTCGCCTTACTTTGTCGCCTTTTATGACACTCGCAAGAAAGGAAGGGGTGACTTATTATTTATTATTATTTAAATTTTCGTTGGCTTCTAATTCTTTGAATGGAACATTATTTATTTATTTATTTATTACAACCACTGGATAAGCCTTACAGTCTTCCAATACGCTCACCCAAGAAAGCATGATTACAATAATATATAGAAAAGGAATATTACACATAAATAACAAGAATAATATAAAAAGATTTAACTCAAACAAAAATATCTGACCACAAATACTCTGTGGTCACTCGACGAAATTCCAGTAAGTTGGAGGCAATTATCTAATTGTTCGTACAGTGCTCCTGACCTATATAAACCGCGCGGGCTACCTGTCTTCGGTACTGGCCGCTACCAGTAGCTCAAATGACAGGGTAGCCTGCGCCGCCTTGCAACTGCTCTCCTACGTGGTATACTACTACAGCAAGAATAATTATAAGGTAAAAATTATAACTTTTCAACCAACTTTAAAAAATAGGAGGTTCCGAATTCAGTTGTATATTTTTATATTTACATATTACCTAATAACTTCGTTATTTATAAACCGTTTTGAAAAATTCTTTTTGATACGATATGCTCATCCACCGCCTACACCGAATACATTGGTTCCAATATTATATGATATGATATCTATATATAAATAAACGTGGTGCACAATATATGTATAGTGTGGGCGAAAGGACTGTATGCTGGTATGGAAACACGGTGTTTTAGAAAGATAATATAATTATATCAAAAATATACATAGCAAACCAACGGAGTAAAAAAGCGAACCAAAAGAAAACCTAAAACTGACACAGACTTCAAATTATAAAAAGAACATCTTTTTAAAAAAAATTAAAAAAGAAACTAAAAAGGTGCGTCGTGCACATATAGATATAGATTTGCTCAATATATAGTTACTCGGTATTTGTTCAACATATGGATAATGTAACTATATTTGACATGTATCGTCCACATATAATATATTTAGCTGTTTCTGTTCCCAGCCCAAATCTGTCCTGCAAGTTCAAACCGACCTGATAGTAAAGTCCCTCCGTCAAGATAGCTCGAACGAGCGAGGGGCATCATTGTTACAATTGGTATACATAATACTCAACTCTGATATGAGCACACCACTGATACTCACATATGACACGGCAGAATCATCACAGACGCATCAATGTACAGCGCTCAGGGCACTGATGTTCAGGGTTCAACTGATGTTATGCTGTAGAGTTAGTAACTCTTCTCTTTTACTAATCTTATTTATTCATTCAGAGATTTACAGGGAATTTGTGAAAATATTTACTTGAATTATTTTATGAAAGTTCATATATTAATACAAGATGAAATCGAAATCATTAGAATCCCTTTATACGAATGAAACTAAAATTTTTTCTCAAAGAATTATTGATCGAAAAATAATACAATACTAGTGGTATTCCATGTCTTTACCCACGTGAATCAGTACATAAACTATCGTATGTGCTCAGATAGATTGTAATCTACCCGGGTACGAAATTTCATTTAAATCCGTTTAGTAGTTTTTGCTTGAAAGAATAACAAACATCCATCTATCCATTAGTCTCCATTGGCATTCATTGGTGGCTTGATCCTGGCATAGAATGGGCCACCTCTTCCTTTCCCGTGGGTGTTGTAAAAGGCAACTAAGAGAATTTATTGGTTAAGGGATGGGCAGCAGCGTCCCTCTTTATACATCACCAAAGCCTAACTGCTGTTGCCAATCCGCCTGCCATCCTCTATAGGGGGAGGCCTATGTTCAGCGGTGGACAGATAACGGCTGATGTGATCCATCCATCCTTACAAACTTCCACATTTACAATATTAATAGAGTAATAGGATGTAAAAATTCACAACTGGATATCTCGCATTAGTATTGGAGGCATAGAATTTTTTTATCATTTTTCAAACCCTGTTTCTTTTGAGAAATTATCAAGTTTCACTGATGGAACATTTCCAAAAAGGATCCCAATCATTTCGATTCCTTATAAAATCATCTGCAGGAATCTGAAACACAGTCTTCAGCCGGTTGGAAAACCTTGAGTTCAATATTCAAACATGCAATCCTATACAAGAACGATCCGAGATTGGTCGCCATCCTCACTTCACAGGCTTGGATACATATACTGGTACAGTTTCAACTAACGCAGAATATAAAAGAAGAATTCCTAACATTCATGCAGAACTGGCTTACCTTACTGAAGATCACAATAAAGAAGAGCAAAGAAGAGAATAAAAGACAGTTATGCGCACAGAGCTTAGTGATAAAAACAATGATTTTATTGAAGAAAAAAATATTACTGGATGATCAGATGAAAGAAAAGAAAGAAAGAGTTTTGATGATTGTCGACGATATTTTGGATGAAAGCGGAATACGATTTACTTCGGATTAAAATGGTGATTAAATATAGATGGTATTCTCAAGACTTTAATAATATGTTTTTCTATTTTTGATTTAATGATAAATTGCTGATTGATTATTATCCAATAAAAATTGTTTCAATTTGTAATTTGTTAAAAATATTCATGATCTAATTATATATTAAACATAAGCACAATAAACATTTGAATAAAGTTGAAAAATAAAAATGTTTTTATTATCTATTATGTTCGCATTAATTTTCTAAAAGTACTAATTGACTTTCCATTTTATCGATTGCCCAAAATATTCCGGAACCACTTTCCATGCGCTTTCCATAGGACGAGAGAAATTATATCGCACAGGCCCATATGCGCGCACGCATGCCTAGCATCGAAAATAGTATGGAAAGCAATACAATAGATATTAATTTATTTATCAATGCACTATCCATTCTTTTTTATATGCGATGAAGGGCTCAAATGGGCATTTTATATCTTTATATACATTTAACAACAGTTTGGAAATTCCTTTCTTAAAAAACTAAAGAGTTTAGGTTGACAATTTTTTTAAGTCATGTCAATTGCCAGATAGAATATATGCTATAGAAAATTCATTTCACAAGTAATGAACTATGAAATAAAAGCAGATAGCAAATCTATTATTAAATAATAAGATTTTACATTTAATGTACTATATTTTTAAGAATTACTTTATTGTGAACTTCTGAATTTGTACTAAAAATTTATAATTTTTTTATTACGTTATACAGAAATGTAATACAAAATAGTTTATCAGTCTGATATCTTACTTCTTAGATTTAAATTTTAACTACTGTTTGCTTGATAATTGTTGAAATTAAAGTAAATTTATTTATTTTTTTATGATCATGTGTTGCAACATTTGGCCATCTCTTTTTCTAGTTCTAAATGTATAACTATATTTTCAGGTATCTTCTCTCAAAGAGATACTTGGTATGCCTACATAGACATAGAACTAGACTGCTGAGAGTAGGGGGAAAGGAATTGTTAATGATGGGGTTTGAAAGTCCTATTGATAGTAAAGTATAAAGTACATTGCTAGCAATAGGACTGGTAGACCTCCACGCAGTTCTCTTTCTCCATGGAATTCTTTTTGAAATCGTCACGACGGGCCAACTGACCTGCTTTCATTCTCATTTACCATCTCTCACTTATGCCCCGCCAGCGTATATTTTTACCCATTTAAAAAAAGTATGCTGTGAGTCGGAAGGCGGGCGTAGGTATAGTTTTGTAATAAACTATCGACCCGCCCTGGCTTTGTATAGGCGCAAATTGTGCCTACTTTACATAATGACAGGGAAACCTATATCAAAATCCATTATATAGAAGTAGAAGTAAGCAGAGAAACAATCAGACAATGACAACAACTTTGTTTTATATATTATTTCAAGTTAAATCAACTAGAGAACCAAACGTGTTTGAGCTCTTTGTATTTTTTTGATCTACAGACTTGATGTTTTCAGTTGAATTAACTTATCAATATGTGATAATAGAACCTGAATATCATTACCAGATCTAGTTATTTTTTTTATACAACTCAGAATGGCATACAAGCTGACGGCCCACCTGATGGAAAGTGGTAACCGTCGCCTATAGACATAAGCAGTACCATGGACATAACAGAGTATACTGTTACGCCCATGATACCCCCATGCGTTGCCATTCCTGAGGACTCAGGTGTTATTCCTCTCTACTCAGTAAATTCACGCCATATCCCACTCTTCAAACCGAAACACAGCCATGTAAACACAACTGCTTCTCGGTTGAAACACGAATGGGACAGAGGTACCCTAGCAATCGACTTTTGTACAAAGTCTCCCTCTGGTGAGTTACAAATGCTTATCTTAAAGTTTTTAAATATTATCGTTACTGCAAGAATTTGGAAATGAAAAAATTAACTTCTTGGTTAAAACACAAAATTTTCGGTTTTAAATATTTCTGTGAAGTAGAGGACAGTAACAGAAGTTAAAGGTTGATTTTTTACTTCATGAACTGGAAAGGAAAAAGTTAATATTGCTGGTTTTTCAACTTTTTGAGTTGTTTACGCACTAAGTAGATGCACTGGATGAAGCGTCGCATGAGGCTACCAACATTATTGTTGCATCCGAGCTATTCGTATACTCGTCTCTGTACAATTTATTATATTACAAAATCAATCACCAAATACCGTCTTCTACTTGTACAATCTTTTTTTTCAAAAAAATTTAAACAAGCCATATAAACTCTTAAAAACAAGTTAAACCTCGGGGATTTTTCACGTTATGACGTCGGATTGTAAGAAAATTTATATCGGATGGTCCTAAAAAGTATTACGAGATCACTTCCTAACTCCTCCACTTGGGGCAGAGCACCCCCCGCTATACTAGAGCAGGTTGAGCGCCGCTGCGCAAGCGCCACTTTCCATCGCGACTCTGCCGCGTCGCGCGCGTACCAGTGAGACAGTGTTGTGACAGTGATGGTGTGCACCCGGCTTTAAGTGATTTATTGATATGCGGACTTTTAAAGGTGTAAACATGTGCGGTAAGTGTATTCTAAGGCAAATATACACTATTGTTTTTTTTTCAGTCAACAAAAGAAGTGTTTTTTTTTTATTATTATTAGTAATTTTTATATGATATTATTCGACGTATTTTTCAATTCTAAACCGATTTTATTGTAATTTTTTTTTGTACAAAAACACTGTTGTGTTGTATCTCATACTTATTTAGTCAAGATGATTTTTTTTTATATTTGTACTCTCTTTACAAAGCTTTAAAAAACAAAAAGCAAATGTATACTCAATTTGAAATTTTAATGAAGATACGTAAATATAAGTTGAATAAATAAAACCTTATTAGTGGCTCTATTAGAAGAAATAAATAATAAATGCAAATTAAACTGCTAACAATACGAGGAACTCTCACTTGTAGCTGTTTTATATTAAAAAAAAAAACTATAACGGTAATTTATGATGGCAATAAAAATGAGTTTAAACAGACTTTTATTAAACATTTTAGACACATATAAGTAATAAATTACAATGAATTTACTTCCTTGTATATAATTATATTAAATAGGAACAAATTTTATCGAAAAAGCGATAACCATTGGTTAACTGAATTACCTAATATAATAACTCTTATACTTTACGTATTATAGTTATTATTTGCATTATTATTGTTATTTACGTTATCGTGTGGTCCCGGCATAGAATGGACCAGCCCTTCCTTTTCCATGAGTGTCGTAAGAGACGACTAAAGAATAGACAGCAGTGTCCCTCTTAAAATATTACCAAGGCTTAACTGCGGCTTGTTAGCCAGCTAACAGGCTAACAGGACTTAACCCGCTTGCCAAGCGTGGCAACTACTGGAAAAACCTCCCTTTATCGGGGAGGCCTTTGATCAATTCAATGTACAGTTAATAGCTGATATAATAATATTTTACGACTTTTTTATACAACTTAGAATAGCAAACAAGCTGACGGCCTACCTGATGGAAAGTGGTAACCGTCGCCTATAGACATGAGCAGTACCATGGACATAACAGAGTATACTGTTTTGCCCATGATACCCCCCATGCGTTGCCATTCCTGAGGACTCAGGTGTTATTCCTCTGTACCCAGTAAATTCACGCCATATCCATTCATTACTGATTAGCATAATCAGTTAATGACAAACGTTCTCTTAATAATTAAGATAAAAATATATCCTTCTTCTACCCATATAGCACATGTATACCTAATTTCATATTGATTGAATAAGACAGTAAAACATTATATGGTAACAAACAAATAAATGAACTCACATTCACATTTCTAATTTTTTTATTTTTATTTTACTTTGAAAGGGAAGCATACAATATCTAAGACATATAAAATACTATACACAACCAGAACATAAATCAGTAAAGTTTCCACTATAAACTAAACCAAATAATCGAGAGCATCGATGATTATTGATATTATATATGACATTGATGAACATAAAAATATATATAATAGTATATACATGCACATACTCACACACCCACACACACACACACACATGATATTAGGATTATAGCGTAGTTAATATTATCATTTTCAAGGCAGTGTAGGGCGGCCCCTCCACTAGATGGAGTGACGACCTGAAATGCATTGCAGGGAGTTAGTGGATGCAGGTGGCTCAAGACCGTTCTTTATGGCAGTCTATGGGGGAGGCTTATGTCCAGCTGTGGACGGAAAATGGCTGAAATTAAAATTAAATTAATATTATCATTGATTATATAATATATCAAGGCATAATTATTAGCCGGGATAAAATTAAACCTACTCGTTTCTTACTCCATATTAAACAGGAATAATGCAATGAAGATTGTTGAAACGATGACGCCAAGAAATAGCGATCAAAAGTTACGAAGTACCTGCACCTTTATATATACTTAGATAGGCAACATTTAGTTACGGTAGACAGTAAAGAATGGACAGGAAGTGCATCATGCATGCGGTACCGTTAGGAACCAGTGGAGCACACAGCGACTCCGTATCCGAGCTCGCACAACGAGATCATTATGTCGGCCTAGACCGGTCTAGATCCGATTATAAATCATTTAATAACTGCTTGTGTTGACGGATAGCTGTATAAGAAAACTCTATGTCACTCGATTGGTTATGGACCTCCATAGCTTATCGAATGGTTTCATTCATGATAGAACTCAAATTAGTATATTAAAATTGAGAGCTTGAATATATAGCCAAAGAGGCAGGTGGTCACTATTTTTTTTTTAATAGGTGATAATAGAATGGGCCCACCACCGGCCCTAACGGTATACACTGGCGGGACACCAGCGGGAAAAGATTGGTGTGAATGAAAAGTTAGCCCGTAGTGATGAATTAACTTAGAATTAAGCATTATGATTTCCAGAGTCCCCCCCTCTGAAACTGGGGGGCGATTTCAGAAGTACAGTAATAATAACATATTGTAAATAAAGTGAGCAAAGGTGAACATATCTTTAAAAGACATCTCTTTCAGTCAACCCAACACAGAGGCATAGAAAGTGTTGAGTGAAAATCAGTAGTGCAAGACAGTATTGTAACATTTAAATATTAATATAATACATATATACAAAATATTAATATACATATGAATACATAAATAATAATGATACCTATGTTCAATAGTAGATCATCATCATTACAACCGTTATTTGTCCACTACTTAACATAGGCCTCCTCCTATGGGGGGGAGGGGGTTCAACAGTAGGTGCCACGTTTGGCAAGCTAATTGGTAACCGCAGTTAGGTTTTGGTGAAGTTAAAAAGAAATTCTGCTACCTATCCCTCGACCAATAAGTTCCCTTAGTTGCCCCTTACGGTAGCCGCGGGAAAAGGTGACCTATTTTTAGCTATGACCGCATTAATTAATAGTGAATAATGACACCAATATCAATGATTCAATTCTAATCTTTATCGCCCAAACAAATAAAGATAACAATCTCCCAAATCAATATAATTATTTGAATGAGGAGATTAATTGAATTAGATGAAGCAAAGATAATAATATAAAGATATTTCGTTTAGTAAACATTAAATTATTCCTAATATACAGTATATATATATATTTACCAAACATCACAATGCCCCGCTGAGTAATGAAAAATACAAAGTATTATTTGTTTTTATAGATATCTAGGTTTAAGTATCAGAATAAACACAAGTCTGAACCGGTTAAATAAGTAGTACATTAGATATATTTCTTAGAAAAAAAAAACAAGAAATGTCAAACATAACTAGTTCTTGAAGAACATTACCACAGTGCACTTAGCTTTTTTTTAGTACAAAGCGGCAACTGCAGAGAAGCCTCGTATAGCCGTTTACCATTATCTAATGGTAAACGGCTATAGTAGTCTACAGATGCCTGAAACAGTAACAATAATATAGCTTGCTTTTACCATACTTGTCAAATAGCGCGGTATAGTTTATTTTTTAATTTTTCCTTACTGGAACTCATTACTCATTTGCTTTGTTCCTCTTCGCATCTTACTCGGTAGATTTCTAATGAAAAGTTAATGCGACTAAGTTGTTGAGGCTTTTATCTGTTATTATTTCTTTTATAATATATACAATAAAAAAAAAAAAAACTAAATAAAAAAATATAATAATACCATTATAAACCGGGATATTGTTTACTTTGCTCAGAGTAGAAAGTAAAGCGTGATCGATTGTCCAGTTTCACTTTTATTGTTCTGTAAACTGAGCAAATTAGATCCGATCTTTACGCATTGCTACCAACCTCCGAGACTCGGAGATGTTGTATGTTACTATGAAATACAGTTTACAGTACGTTTTTAGCTCATTTTAAAAATAACGATTTCATAATATCTTTTTATGATGTAATAAGTACTCCTTATGGATTTTTATTATAATGGATGATAATGAAATGGTAGCCCTACCACGCCTATCGGTAATGATAGCAATGAGGACTAACCTCCCCATTACTAACAATCCCTTCCCCCATAGCAACCGCAGTTAGGTTTGCTAATGTTCTACAAAGAACGCTGCTGCCCACCCCTCAGCCATTAGATTTTTTTTTATACGACTTAGAATGGCAAACAAACTGACGGCCCACCTGATGGAAAGTGGTAACCGTCGCCTATAGACATGAGCAGTACCATGGACATAACAGAGTATACTGTTTCGCCCATGATACCCCCCATGCGTTGCCATTCCTGAGGACTTAGGTGTTATTCCTCTGTACCCAGTAAATTCACGTGATATCCCACCCTTCAAACCGAAACACAGCCATGCAAACACAACTGCTTCACGGTTGAAACACGAATGGGACAGAGGTACCCAAGCAATCGACTTTTGTACAAAGTCTCCCTCAGTCTCCTCTTATGACACCCATGAGAAAGAAAGGGGTGACCCATTCTGTGCCGGGATCACACAGCGACTACATATCTTCTCATTTTCCAACTTATTGCATTGGGAAAAAGAATTCAATTTCACTTGTAGAATAATACTTCCTTAAAAGGAAGCCAATAATTACTATTTCAGCCTATGTATGAAATAATAGTTTACACGAATACGGAATTATGTATAGATTATTGTTATGTGATAGGGTAATTATAATTACGACTGTACATCAGTTTTGTAGACGTAAGTTATCGGTAACCACATATGCATTCAATCCAAGCGTGCGTTTTTTAACATAACACAAATACAAAAGGGGCAATAAATTATGTAACAAATTATTTTTTACTATGTACCAACCTATATCTATATGTATTTATCTAAACGAACATTTCGTGCCTCCACTCAAACTGATTAAATTATTCTTCTCCATCCAAAGGTTGCCTGGAAGAGATCGCTGTTAACGATAAGGCCGCCCATTGTTTTCTTAGTATAATATTTTCTTGTAATTATTTGTATTTATATTAAGTTTGCTATTGTAATCTTATGGAGGAAACAATAAAGGGTATCCATTTATCCATTTATCTATCTACAGGGATGTTTGAATTATAAACATAATGGCCCAGTTGAAAGGTGACAACCCTAGTGAAGTA